TGAGATTATTTATTATCCTCTCTGATTTGACTGACTGACTGACTGGTGGTAATAATATCTTTCATAAACATCTCTGGTATTTGCTCTGAGTCATTTCTGTTGCATGTGTTCGGTGTAGGTTGACTCTATAAACCAGGATTCAGTAATCAATCTCTCTCACCCTCCACCTACATAGATTACTTCTTAGAATCTTAACCCTCTCCCTCCCACCCTACAGTGTGGTTGTGTGTTAATGCATGCAATGCGATTACTGAGTTTTTTTCTAAATATGGTGGAGATATGTGGATGACACTTTCACACACAGTGTTAAAAACAGAACATCTCTCTCTCTAGCATCTTGACACACACATAAACTCACTAGTAGAGGGAATAAAATTCACATTTGTATCAGAAAATAAACAAGGAGAATTAGCTATGAAGTTAGATTCTAAAATAAAACGAATAGAAGAAGGTAAACTACACACTAGCGTTTATAGAAACCAACTCATTCTGCTAATAGATATTAAGACTTTAATTCATCTCATGCGTTAACTGTTAGCGCAGGCTTAGTTGCGTGTGTCTAACAAATTGAGCAATAGCACTAGGCAGCACAAGAAAAGACCTGAATGATGAAATAAAACAGATAGAAGAGGCGTTGGTGTTAAGTAACTAACTATCCTTTAAAATTCATTAGGAAGATCGAAAAAGGCTGAAAGCAAAATAAAAATAATTGTGAAACTAGTAATGATAACACAAATAAGAGAGAATATAAGTCATCTACAGTTATACCATATAAAGAGGGGACATCTGAGACCCTACGTAGGATTCTATATAAAGCAGAATTATGGTGGCATTCAAACCTCTGTAGGCTAAAAGATCCGATGGACCCAATTAAACAAAATAATATAATTTACAAGATACTCTGCAATGACTGTGAGGTCAACTACGTAGGTCAAAGTAGCAGATTGGCTGTAATCAGATTGCCAGAACATGAGAGTTTAGCTAAGCTAAGAATGGTTAACCCCGAGAAGTTAAGTAATTTAGAAAAATGCTCATCAATTGCACTACATGCATTAATACAAAACTGCACAATACGTTGGACGGGAGAGGGTTAGGATTCTAAGAATTAACTTAAGTAGGTGGAGAGAGGGAGAGATTGATTACTGAAACCTGGTTCATCGAATAATCTACGCCTAACACACGTAACTGAAATGACTGAACGCAAATACCAGAGATATGGAAGATATTATTACCGCCAGTCAGTCAGTCAGTCAAATCAGAGGAGGATAAATAATGCTTAAATGTATTCAATCCAATACACATTCTAACAAGCTATTCATTTGTTTTTACTATAAAAACATTTTATTTTAAATCTGATTGTATTTGATTGATAAAACTGTTATTTTTATTTCTGAATGTACTTTATCGCATATTGATTTCATTCAAATGTCTGATCATCAGTTTTTTATACACGTATATAAATGAAGCAAGACTGTTGTTTGAGTAATGCCTTTATATGATTATGAGCAGTGGTAATAAATTGTGCTTGAAACGTCGTGATCAGTAAAATTCATATACAACACTGTGAGACTTTAGCAGTCTGCTTTAGCTGGCTCTATGACCTGCCTATAGTCCTCCATTTTGTCTTCACACAATGACGTCTCTCGTTCAGTTGCCTGGCACGCCATGCTACTCATCATCATCTGTCTTCTCAGTGTAACCCAAATCCATCTCCATTTTTTCCGTTAGGCGACAGAATCTTCCTCAGACTTCCTTCTTGGCCATCTAATAGTATTCAGTAGGTAGGTGCACACTATTTCTACGGAATTACAAAAAGTCGACTGTCTGTCTGTTTTCGACATATAAATTTGCACATGTGTGCGGCAGTTCAAGTTGCAAACTCCATGTAGTACACAAAGCAAGAGAAGAAATGCATAATACAGACAGTAAACATAGGTGCGTCAGTGGCACAGCGGTTATGACTCAAGTCAAGTGCTTGAACTAATGTGTCACATGATCGATTTTATTTAGGTGTTAGAAAAGTTGACATTTATCTTTATTATCTAACACTTAAGACATTAGAAAGCTGGTGCATCCTTGATGCTCGTCTTGAAAATACATTGCGGATTGAATGGAAGTTGCCCACATTGAGGATATTTTTGCAAAAAAAAGATGGATTTTATTAGGGTAGCAACCATTCGTTTATTCATTCTTTTGGTTTAGTGATGTAGGGATTGAAACTAAAACAGAATTTCTTTAAAACTGTCTCTAACTAGGATTTAAACTATAGGATGCCATTTTACAGATGTGATCAATCGAAACCACTGGTTCACACTTCCGCCGCCTTCCTCATCAACCAAATCCTAATATAATCTGGTCGACGTCGCAATCTACGAAGGTTTAGCATGCGATTCGCTCCCGCCAAATGTAAGATGATGATACAGGACTGCACTACACCGACTCATAGCTTAGGAATAAGGAGTGAAGTGGTACAGCACGTTGACCGCTTCACTTATTTGAGGAGTACCATCAGCTTCAACGGGTTGATCTCTGACGAAATCTCAGCACAGATACAGAGGGCTAGTTTCGCATATGCCAGGTTACGCCGTCTCTGGCGTAGACGTGATATCCAGTTATCGACCGAAGGATGGGTGTACTGCATGGCAGCAGTCCTCTCAGTCCTCCTCTATGTCTGTGAGTGAGACATGGCCATTGAGAGTGGAAGACATGAAAAGGCTGGCTAGCTGTCTTCGATCATAGATGCCTTCGTTCTATCTCCCGTGTGAAGTGGTATAATAAGGTGAGCCATATTGAGGTCAGGCGTCGAGTGCTAGGTAAGGAGAGGAAATCAATCGACGAAGCTGTAAAATTACATCGAGTAAGATGGTTAGGACATGTGTTACGTATGCCTAGTCATCGCCTTCCTCGACGGGCAATGTTAGCTGACATAGGGTCAGGCTGGAAAAGCGCTAGCACGTGGCTTCATCGGTCAAGGAAATACACAACAGTTATGTTAAGATAGTCACGTAGGAAGGTGTAGACTTCCTGACTGGTTGGGTCATTGGGACGGTAAGTACCAATGGCTGGATACAATCGGTGATATGGCTCAAAATCTTTCTCAATGGCGCAGATGCATCCACTCCTTGTGACCTATGATTTCCAATGAAACTATATTTTTCTTCGTTATTACTATTTCTTTTGTCTCATATCCCTGTCTACTATCTCTGTTTTGCATTTCCACTTTCTTCTCTCGCTTTGTGTGCTACATCGACGAAGTGTGGCGACTTGAACTGCCGCACATATGTGCAAAGTTCTATGTCGAAAACCGACAGGCAGAATCGAGTCGATAGCAAAGTTGAGATAAGCTGGAGCTGCCTGTTTCTTTGAAAATTAAGTAACCCTCACTCAAGAACATGACCACAGGGCAACCCTTCTCCCCACCCAGTTGCACAAAATACCTAACTCCAATTATTATTTTAAATAATCATCTTAATATACTGCCAAAAATTGAATTTAATGTATTACTTTGTGGAAATTTTGTTACAATGCCACCTATTTCTTCATGTGTCAAGGCTTCAGTCTGCAGTGCGTCAGTTAAGCCGTATGATGCGGTGACTAACAATGAGATTAGGCGTAGTGTCAGACAACGATTATGTTGTGAAGTTACATCGACTGAGGTGGCTCGGATACGTGTTATTCATGATCAGCCATCGTCTAGTAATGTTGACTAATACATTATTAGCTTGAAAAGGATTGGAGCGCAGTCAAATCATAACGTGGAAGTCAGTCAGTGTCATTAAGTGACGATCTACCCCCCCACATCCTGCTTGGTGGATCACGCTTTCCACGATCTCCTACTAGAACTTCAAGCACCTGGAACCCGTAGTCAGTCATTAGTGAGCAATAGATTGATTTTTTAGCTATTGGTTACGAAATGACTTCATTTGGCTGTCGTACCATACATATATCACCGAATGGCGGAATTCAGAATTCATTCCCCATTGGATTCCATACTAGTGGTTGGATGGTCAACGGACTTGCCTCGTACTCTACAAGTTCCAGGGTTCAATCTGCGGTGTGTGTATACTGCTAAGATGAAACAGATGTGCGACACCTCCTGATATTCATTTATTCTCTAACCGACGTCAGTTGGTTAAGATTTTATTTTGATAAATCACACTTGTTTTTTGGATTAATGCACATTGTGCTCGAACCTCTTCTGCTGTCGTCTTATCTATTGAACTTTGCGCTACTTCTATGATAGGAGTGACGTACTCTGGTTTTAATTTACTAACTGTTACATTGAAACTCAGTACTTTCTCAAGTACTTTTATCTCATTAGAGCTTAGTTCCCTTGATGAGAGGTTGATCACCCAATTTCTTCTGTCAACAGAGGATGAAACGTTGACGTCAATTTCTTCATTTATTGTGTTCTTTTCTTCCATTAGTTTGTTGAATTTTTTGATTTTTATGGTTTCTGATTTTATTAATGCTGATTCTATAGCTTTTTCGGATGTTTCAACAACAATTACATAATCTTTGTCATTGACCATACCATATTTGGGTGGACGTACTTTATGTGATGAAAATAGTGTCAGGCATGAACGAACTAACTAACCTTCTTTGCACTACTAAATAAACCATTTCCTTCTCCACCCTTACAACATCAAACTTTATTGTTAGTGTATTTCTTATATTTATAATCCTCTCATTTTTTGTTTTTATTTGTTTATTTTTTCATAGGTGTGAACATCATTTAAGCTCTGTTTTGTAACTGTTAATTTTGTATTTCTCCTCACCATGCTGTTGTATAAACAGAACATTAGATTCAATAATCTATAATATGCTAAAGTTTCCAAACTGAATCGACAATACTGTTTGAAACAAACTCACTGTTATTATTATTATATTTAATATTCTCAATTCGTGCTTCGAATATTTTTGACCTTATATTGTAAACAAGGAAAAATTCCTCTGGTTAATTTTGTTTTAATTTTATTTATATTTTAAGTAAATCAGATGCAGGGTATTTTGACAAATGCTGAGAATTCTATTCTGTATTACAAGTACTGTGTGTTTTAGAATAAAGTAAATTATTATTAAATGATCCCTTCTTCTGCCTCTACCTTTTTATGCCACATGAAGCATTGAAATTTGAACTGTCAAACATCTGTACAGGTGTGTCTACGCTGAAACTCGGTCAGCGTAGATGGACGACAGACAGCTGTCCGTGATAGCTCCCAAAAACCCAAAACAAACAGAACTTGATTACTTCATAAATGTATATTTTTTCAGTGGTGCTTAAGTTAAAGCAGACGACGCGTACACACACATGACTGTATTATATACCAAACAAAAATGTAAGTAAGCAAATGTGACTAATACTCACTACACTACACTACACTACTATATCGATAGATGGATAGACACAGATGGAAGAAAATTATGGCGCAGACACGGATGGGCATACAGAACAAGCCAGAACAACAACAACAATACCACCAACAACAAAAAATAAGCAATAATATGAACCGGTTTATAGACTAGAAACGCAATCATAACAAAATAATGTGATACGAAGGGAAAGTTAACAAAATTGTGAGCACAAACGACGAAACCACCGCACACGCACACACACACACACAAACGAACAAACAACAGAACAACACAAAACTTGTAAACAAAAATCAATACATAAATAAACTCATAAACACGAAAGACAAAAATAATAAACAACGGACAAATACAAAAAATAAGAAGGAAAATTTTCTCGTTGTAAGTCGCATTGTTTCTTTGTTTATGATGTCATCAATTGAAGAGGCGGGTTTTTTCTTCACAAATGTGACAGCGAATTCTCAAAAGAACTCCATGTGAAGAAAGGAGGTAAACGAAGGAAAATTACAAAAAAAAAACGCACGACACAAGAGTATTACACAATGGAAGATGAGGAGTAGTAAGTAATGGAGGGATGGAGTGTACACTTTCGTTTGTACTCCACCTCTCTCCTTGCTGATTGACAAACGACAAACACACACACACACACACACCGATCTAAAATCTTGTAATTTGTAAATTCCATGCATAATTAGTAAATGTTAACAGATGTTGTTGGCAAGAGTCACAGAGTGCCTCCATTGATGATCCTGTTGCTGAGGATGATGAGGACGGCGACTCAGTCGTTGTTGTTGTTGTTCGATGAGGACTAAGGCATACACTACTTATAATATTGCCCAATTCAAGACATTTCATGTAATGCGCGGCGTCTTCATGAGAATGCATTAACCCTGAAGCAATTAACCAATCTTCAAGAGCTGAAGGATAAAACACCATGTCATAGTGAGTCGAATTAATGCTGAAAAAAAAATAGTAAAAATAGAAAAAGAAAATTATCCAAGACATTGAATAACAGTCATTCATTTAACAGTATGTATCAAAGTCAGGATCGCAAAAGGTTAGAAAATCCTTTATTCATCTGATATCAGTGTGGAATTCCAACTGCACTAAGCTGCATAAAGAATAAAATCCAGACCTTCAACACTAAATGTCAAGTCAATCAATGTTTCTGCATAGAGTCAATAAACTTAGCGCATCACCAAAAGCACTTCCACACAGACCATTGCAGGCTTTCATAAACAACTGACCACATCAATGGTTCTACTCTCATGGTCAGATGACCAGGAAGGATTAATTAATAACACGGGAACTTTGGGAATGAGATGGATTGAACCCATGCTAAAGAGACTACTGAATGATATTGCACGACAAACAGACGCTGGAATGGAACCCGAATGAGAAACAGTGAGTTTGCCGTCCAAGAGTGTCATGAAAGAGATCGTGTGAAAAGGAGTATAATAGCATATTGACAATGTGGAGATGTGCTGTTTAACTGCTATGTTCAACTTGTAACTTATGCACTGAAGAAGCACCTGATGAACAAGAAAGAAAGTTGACTCAAACTCTGGTTGATAACACTTATCTAGACAAGTTCATTAGGAGATATAAATGTAGTCAGTGGAACACCAAGACCAATTCTCCAACTCGCCTCTAAGAAAGACGTGTACATCAAACTACCCTATATGGGTGATCATAACACCTTGATAACTAGACAAAGATTGAACGCTGTTGTTAAAAAGACTTTTTATGCAGCTAATATCATAATTAATTGCAAAGTCAATATATCTATCTAAACCCTTCGAACATGCGGAAAATGATGTCACATCCCACTGTATTTATCTATTTGAATGTATGTGTGGACACATACAAAGGGAGGACTGGCTTCAGCGTATGTTCCCGAAATGGCTTCAGATGCAAACAGAATCTTCAGAACGCATTAGTGGTGAGAACAGACGGCAATCTACCTCCTTTATTGCAAAACATATTACACAGGAGACTGGGCATAAAATTGATGTCTACACGTCTTTTAAACCTATCTATAAAACGTGTTTGGGGCGTATCCTAAAGTTTGTGGAAGCCCTAGCTGGCAATTAGAAAGTTTAAACCACCTTTATGTGCTCAAACCAACAATTCGTCATCACAATAACCTTCCTTGGTAAATTTTGTTTTGATACCATAGCAGATGTACTATTACCTCTGTTATTTGGTTTAGTGATCTTCATTGTTATTTTGATCTTCAATATGTACGAACTGATTGAGATATCTGAGTTGAGTTCATTTTGGTTACACCGGTGATGAACTCAGCCCCAAAGACGAGCAAAACGGTAATCCGGTGTTTACATCATTTTGACCTAACAACCAAGATACTACTACTACTACTACTACTGGTTGACGTTTAATATCAACCAGGCAATAGTATATACCATCGAGCTATAAATTTTTATGCTCGTCCACACTAGAACTTGTAACTGACTTATTCTTACATCTCATAGAAAACTGTTCATCCTGTACTCTTTTAATTCATTAACGTCAGAAGAACGTCTTAACAAATTGATGCATGGTAGAAATAACTGTTCCCGTGGCTAACCACTGATTTCTGAGAATAATAAGTCGTAATATATTGCCGATTTGTTGAAAACTAGTCACTGGTGTCCAATCAAAGTATCCAGTACAGTCCTACAGGAGGTCAATCGCGAATCCGAATAGCTGGTAACGTCTCTGAATGCGGTACTCAATAGGTGAAGCCGGTTCGAGTCTCGGAAGGGCCGTTGCAGACACGCCTTGCTGACTGTTGAGTGCGAAGTAGCACGAAATCTAGGTAAGGTTGGGCTTCCTGTGGCCGATTGCCTCCAACCATCTGATACCACCAAATGGCAGAAGTTAGGATTGAAAAGCTATTGGATTCTATCCCAGTAGCTGAATCATCAAAGAGCTCGTCAAAATGTGACCCTAAGGGTCCTGCGTTCAATCCTTCATAGGATGGATTATAAGATGCATAGTGTTGAAGAGCACCAAACAAGGACGACCAAAACAACTGTCCAGTACACTGTGTTTCTTTTCCATGCTTCCCTAAGTGACGTATCAGTTTTTGCTCAAACTTCAAAGTAAAAAGTATACAATTGGTGGATGGTGGCTAGCAGTGGAATCCAGGATAAAGCGCATTTCGTCCTAATTGGGATTCGTCATCTGGATGTACGTGCATTTCTCAGTAAGTGATGATGTTCCCACTGAGGCTCGAACCCAGTGCCCATAGTTTCAAACGCCATAGCGTTATCCACTAGACCACTTGGGCCACGAGAGCCACCTCTTGTGCAACGGGTCATATTAATTATTGAATTGAATTCAAAGTAAAAAGTTCGAAAAAAAATTCACAGAACTGAAAGCAAAACAGTAAACAATAAATAACACATGTGAAGAGTAGTGGTCTACGCAAAAAAAACAGGCAAACTTACACTTTTCCATGGCATATACTCTTTGAGCATGATTCCAAATGGAATTTAACAAATTGATTAACTATACGATTAATTTCATTATTATTAATATTATCTTGAGATGGAGATTTCAAGAATCTTCCAAGGAAGAATTTTCCAGAAAATTCACGATACCAACGTGAAAAGCTTAATGAGGCAAAAGAAGCAACAAAAATGGAAAAAAAAACACACACAGAGAAGTTGTTACTAATATGTGGGTGTGTGGTATTATGTAATTTTCTATTAATTTGTTTATTGCATACATCACACAAACACGTTCCCAGTGGAACATAGGGTGCTTCAAGCTAGACAGCTTTGAAATTTCGGTAGCAGTGGTGTTTATTTTTAAGGTATGGGGTTGCCAGCCAGCTTGGAACCCAACCTTTCCTCTTCACCGACCTCAACGTTGGTTTAAGGAGTTTTAGGAGTACATCGGTCGGGAATCGAACCTCGAAACAAATCCAGGGCTGGCAAACATTGTACCGCTGTGCCACTTTCATTGCTGGTAAACTACAAGTCATGTTTTCTACACAATCTACACATGGTAATCCCTTGATTGAACGATTAACTACCCACAGACTAGCCAATTCTAATTGTATCTACCTATTCAACTGCGCTTGTGATGAAGCAAGTTATATTGACCATTGTTCTAGGAACTTGGTTTTCCGTGCACACTCAGGAACATCTACCAGTGTGGCTAAATAAAGGTGGTGTAGTAAAAACCATAAACCGCTCGATATTAGACCACCTGTTTTAAACCAGCTATAAAGTCAGCATTGAATAATCCTTCCCTATCATCTACCGGGTACTAAATAAATTGTCAAAAACATCCAGGTACCACATAGTCTAAACAGCAGCGGCTCCCGTCATTTGCCTTAAACAACCAGTGCTTTAACAAGCAGGCATAGTGAAACAGTATTATTATTATTAATATTTATTGGACGACGAAGTTTCTAACACAAAATAGTGTTTGTAATCCCAGGGACAATAGTAACTACACAACCTGGAAACATGTTCATATGAATTGTGATCAAGATTTGACCTAATAGTTCCAATATAATTGGGCGCCGAGTAAGAAGAAGGCAATATGTGTAAAAATTATATTTGTAAAATCTCAGCAGAATTGAAATAACAATTAATTCCAACGTTGATGGACGCACTAAAATCCCTACTTGATGGGAGTTAGAATTCATGAGTCATTGAATCGTGTCCGAATGAATGGTGTACGGGCTAACCTGACTTGTAACCAGGAGATCTTAGGTTCGAAACCCAGTGGCTGTGTACTACCGATGAGTTCAGCTTTTGACCACAGTGTTCATGCAGTTTTGTCTATTTATATTTTAATGCCTATTTCTTGACTCATATGATTGGATAGCGTTTTTAAAAACAAGAAATGTCCTTTTTATGCATATATAAACCTTTTGCTTTAATTTCGATTAATTTCTCCGAACAAGTTCGGACCAATCTGTGACCGAATCGCCGGAATTACTGATTTCAATTTCGTTGATATTTTTAAATGTCCTGGAAACGTATTGTTTTTTTATTTATTTTTATTTCCTCTTTTGCTTCTCTCCGACTTGTTGTTTCTAGATATCCAAATGGACAGGTAGTTGAATCATCCCCTAGTGTAAGTATTCTCAGATGATTTAAAACAATGAAGAAACACTTCTCCAGTACATGAATTAATCGTGGGGAAAAGAGCAAGGAACTCTTAAATCTATCCCAAGCTAATCCTATGTCAGTTAACATTGCTCAATGAGGAAGAAAGTGGCTTGGCATATATATTGTATATAAATCGATACAGCTCTACATACTAATGTGAACAATCTACTCTTCATTTTTTTTTCGTGTTAATTTTACTCGCCGACCATGCACATGGTCCGGGGTTCGATCCCCGGCCACAGACGCACTCCTTTACCTCGCTAAGCGAGAAATAATGCTGGTAAAGAGGAAAGGTTTGGTATGAGGCTAGCGACCTCATCCTGTAAAATGAAACACTGCTAAAGAAACTTCAAGCTACTAGCTTAAGACCCTATGTTCCACTGGGAACGTGAAGAAAAAAGACTTTTAATTTACTTAGACGTATGTGGTTTATTATTCTATTATTATTATTCCCTTCGATTTCAAGTCGAACATAGAGCTTCGACAACACAACTCCACTTTCTTCTATTCACTGCTGACTTTTCAAGCTGGCTGGCTATCTCCACGAAGGTCCATAATCCCTCACCTCTTCCTCCTCCAACTGACACGATCTCTTCCATATCACCCTAGCACTGACGACCTATTCATCGTTTCCCATTAGGACTCCACTCGAGTGATGAACTGGCACGCGATGTCATTAGACGGCCTCCTCAATGTATGCTCGATCCATCTTCATCTCTATTTTCTCTTACATATTTGTTGAGCAGTAGACTCTTGGTTAGTCTGTTGCCAGTTTCTTTCTGGTCATTGGATCTTCAGAATGGAGACAACCAAGTGGGCAGCTGTTGATAAAAGTCTGCAGTAACCTGTTGAAAATCCCTTTCGTGACACGCTGATCACGTTTCTGACCCGGATTGAAGGACCAGCCAACTTTACATTTTTGTTGAACAGAAACCGAATCTTGTTCTTTATGTTGAGTATGAGGAGAAGATTTCCAAACTGTTTTTCAGGTTGATGAAGGCGTATCTTGCCTTTCCGATCCACTCTGGCTTGCTCTGACATCTTCATACGTTTCGTGTGCCTGTGTAGTTGACACGATGCTTCCCAGTCAGATAAGTGAAGGAAGTAACCTCTGTCAGATCTGTCTCGTTGATGGTGATTGGTGCTGGTTGTTGTCGGTGTTGGCTGGTGGTTGTCTTCATCACCACCCCACTACTCTCCCTCCATGTTGCTCGAAAACCAAGAGAAGAGAGTAAAGAGAGAGAGATTTAAAGGAGAGATAATAAACCAGAGTGTGAGTTAGGGAAAAAGGCCAAAGTTAAACTTTAAGCACCACCACTAACTATCAATCAGTGAATGACCTTGAACGCACCAATCACGTGAAGGGGGGAATTTTGTGTACAGAATACACATATTTCTGAAATAATGCAAAAAACACTGTAGAAATGTGTTACAGAAGATACCTTCCTCTCACATGTGATAAAAATAGCTTCCAATTTCAGGTTGGAGTATCAACAGAGTATAGTTCCATTGTGCGTGAAATTTATTTTGATAAAGTCGCAGTGTAATACAGTAATATTTCCTGAGCGATAAACTGTGCTCGAAACGTGGTCATCAGTAAATGCTACTGTTTAATATTGTGAGACTTTATCAAAACAAATTTTACCCACAACGGAATTGTACTCTACCATGGTGCACAAGTTCTATTCTTATATCAAAACAGTTATTTAAGCACATTCTATGCATGTAATTATTTAGGTCTTCTAACCCTAACAATAACCCTAGTCATTCCTGAACCTAACCCCAACATCAAAATATCCCTAAGCTAACCATAATCTAACTCGAATCAGCCCTAATGTCGCCTTTATTAGGTTATTATTATTATTGTTTCCTTGGGTTCGTAGTGGAACATAGGGCTTCAACTGCACGTCTCCACTTGCCACTTCTGTCTTCCTTCTGCAGTTCTCTTCACCTGCATCCAAGTTAGTCCATACTGTTTCAACCGACTCCTCTTCACACGATCTCCTCCATGTCACCCTTGCACTGACGTCCCACTCGCCGCTTCCCTTTCGGCCTGGTTCCACTCGAGCGATGGCCTGACGCGCGCGCGATGTCACACAGAGGCGGCCTCCTCAGCGAGTGTCGAATCCATCTCCACTTTCTCCTGCACAATATTTGTTGGGCGATTGGTTCTTGTTTTGTTTGTTCCCATAGTTTCTTGTTGGTGATTCTTTCCGGCTCGGCCATCTGATCTTCAGTATAGATCGAGCGAAGACAGTTGTTGGTTGATGAAGGTCTGCACCAGGCTGTTGGAAATATTCTTTGTTACCCAAACGCCAAGTTTCTGATCCGTATAGAAGAACTGACATGACGTTTGTATTGAAAATACTACCGAATTTTGTTGTTGATGCTGAGTGACCAAGATTTCCCCTCAGTATTTATTAGGTTAACCTAACCCTAACTTGTTCTTGGCTTAAGGCGTAACTTAATCTTTCCCAAACCTAAGCTGCAACTTGCCAGATATCCCATTTAATAGCATAACACACTTCGATGAGCATATTTTATTGATGATGACAACAACATTATTTGCCAGGCTTCACTAACTTGCTCAGTGAGCATTTCAAGGTCATTAGTGCGGTCGCACTTCATTGGTAGTTAGTGGTGCTTAAAGTTTAACTTCGCCGGAATAAGAATAGTAGTAATATTGAAGAACAATAGAATTTTATTGGATATTATACATCATAAAAAGGGAGTGTGAATGCATTCACGCCAGCCATTGAGAACGAGGATTTTGAGCCCTACTACCAATTATCTTATAAGCTACTGATTCTTATCATCCTGAGGACGCCAACCAGGAAGCTCATCTACACCTCCCTACGTGATGTCGTAACAATAATAATAATAATGAAGAGTAACTTACAAGCAAAATACTAAGCCGCATCATCCTGGATAAAATCAAACAAGCTGTGGATGGAAAACTTCGACCGGAAAAAGCTGGATTCAGGAGAAACAGGTCATGTATTGATCAAATCCTCACACTAAGGATTATCATGGAACAAAGCTTGAAATGGCAGTCACCTCTCTATCTCGCTCAACTTCATCGACTTTGAAAGGGCATTCGATAGTGCAGCGTCTATCGAGGTGATTTGGCAACTATTTCGCTACTACGAGGTGCCGCCAACAATTATACATCTCATCCAACAGTTGCACGACAACGCTGCATGACAAGTAATCCACAACGGGAAACTTACGGAATCCTTCGAAGTGAAGACGGGAGTAAAACAAGCTGCCTGTCTACTATCGCTAATGATTTTCCTGATTGCAGTAGATTGGATACTGCGATAGAAAGCGAGCAGCGAGGAAACAGGCATGGACCCTCACGAAAAACTTGGAGGATCTGGACTTCACCAATGATATATATCTCATTTCCCACACACTGCAAGATATGCAAGTGAAAAGCAACAAGTTCTCAGAAGAATGATCCAAGACGGGACTCTAAGTAAACATAGAGTAAACAAAGGTGTTGAAGATTCTTGGCCAATCGCAACAACAACCGACAACATTCAGCATAAATGAGAGGAACCTTAGAGAAACAACCTCTTTTACCTACCTGGGAAGCATCGTTTCAACTACAAGTGGAACTGACGAAGATACCAAAGCAAGGATCGATCTGGAAACCAAGACAAGCTTTCATCACTCTCAAGTCTGTGTGGGGGTTAACAACACTACTCAACATGAAAATGAAAATAAGATCCGGATTTCCAACTCCAATGTGAAGTCAGTGCTACTCCACATACGGATCAGAGACTTGGCAAGTCATAAAGAGCACCTCAAACAAACTTCAGGCCTTCAATAACAGTTGTCTTCGCTCAATATTTCTCAAGATGAGTTGGCTGGCCAGAAAAGATCACCAACAGGGATCTCTGGCCGTGAGCATGCCAATCAGGAACCGATTGCGAAACAAATAGGCAGGAAGAAATGGAGATGGATTGGCCATACTCTGAATGAAGCATCAAGTGACATCACTAGACAAGCCATTGCTCGAGTGGAACCCGAAAGGGGAGTGGCAAGTTGGTCGTTAGTGAGAGGGTGACTTGGAGGAGGTCATGTAAAGAAGAGATGAAAACATGTGGGCAGACTTGGAGCGGGGTGAAAAATTTGGCAGAGAAGCGAACGCAATGGAGACTCACGGCTGAAGCCCATTGTTCCTCTAGGAATTGAAGGAAATAATAATGAGTGACTTACAAACGTTTCATTGGTAGAAGAAACAATTCTGTATCCAAGCCGAACAGCACAAATAATATTACGCCTTGACCAAAGTGTAATGAACCATCCAAAAACTCGAGAACTATATAAACACCCGTAGGAGCATCGTGGACCAGACGCCAAGTGCATAAACAAATACCCTAAAATCAAAAAATAAGATAAAAAATAAAAAGATTACTGACATGGAATATCCAGACACCAATAATCTTACACTCATTGAAAGCATTTCAATGCAGAGATATTGTAGAACAATAATTCACAGAGACGATTAAGAGGAAGCCTACTTCCATCAAACTTGACTGTAAGGGCGACAACATTATGAGAATGGTTAATAACAGATTAAGCGAAGTCCTGTCTAGGACGTATCCTACAACGTTTTTAGTCTTTCTATACCGAACAACCTCTTCACTGGTGCAGTCAAAGACTGACAAGTATCGCTCACATGTTACCTCCAACTGTGTATACCAATTCACATGTATCTGAGGGAGCAGTTACATTGGAAGAACAAAGAGGAGGGCATAAGTCAGATTCTGAGAACATGTACCAAGGAGTCTCCGGTTAACGGGATCGAATTGTCTAAGCTCTTCAACTGCCGCTAAACACCTGATTGAAACAGGACACTGAGTAGATGTGCTGGAATCATTCAAAATAATTAAAACAGACAAGGCACCCCAAATCTTCTCAGGTTTGCTAAGTCTATGGCAATAAAACGATTGAAGCCTGATTTATGTGTTCAAAAAGAACTTCTCTTCTTACTCCACCCCTCTCTTGAATTTTCGCTTGACTCTTTTAAGAGATGATCTTTCTTGATCTTCTGAGTTCTGCTCACTGTATTACATCATCAACTTCTCATCTGACCTCATGTGTACCAAAATTTTGATCTTCTCTTATCTAATTACGTAACTATTTCCAATTGTCTTTTGCTACCACCCCAACAACACAACTGTTCAATTAATTTTTTTTCAAGAAACTTCTCTCTACCAAGATATATATATTTGTCGTAACACTTTAGACATCTTGTAAATCTCAACTCCCTATTTTACTATGACGCTCTGACAGTATGCTTGCTAATGGAAAACGGTTTGTTAAAATTGTACACTTTTTATTTTTATTTTATTAAAGAATTCGGGGTGTACGCGGCTGATGAGACCCAACGAAATAAAATGGATCCAAATTATTCTGCGCCAATGTTTCTACTTTCTTAATTCAAATAAGAGGAAAGTACTCGACTTGCACGACAAACAATACCAACAGTTGTAGACAAACACACACTCACATATGCACACAAAAAACCCAATAACACTTCAATTGTATATTTCATAATAACTCTGGAAGCTGTTAAGGTGTTACATTTAAGATGAGTTAGATAGAACTCAACTATGGGAAACAGACTTCTCATGCATGAGGCAATAAGCCACATAGATACTCTGGGTGTTTGTGGCACAACTAAGTTAGTTATCCAGACTGAAACCTTTACGTGTTGGTCAGGCTAGGATATCACGATGACCCTATGGGCTACACTGACTAGAATAAATGTCCCTCTAGGGTTCTACAATACCAAAAAAGTAGAGAAGTTAGTGTGCTTAGACTGGTAACAGTTACCGACATAGTGTAAGTTGATTACACCTAAGTTGAAGGTCTGCAGGTGAGGTAGTACACTGCTGGCCTTTAGATGGCCAGCAGCATGTCAGCTATGCTGCCCTTCTGTTCTGGACACGAAAGGTTAGAGAAGGTCGGCCTCGAAAACTGTTCATCCCAACTTCGTTTGTGGTAGTCCCTAGCCGGAGGTGAGATTTCAATACGGACAAAACTCAGAAAAAAACACTCGTCCCTCAAACAGGTCATGTGTGTTCCAGCCTTAAGCAGTTGTCCTCTGGGCTATGCCATTGATTACATAACACTGATGCTCCTTACGTTTCAGGTACTCGAAGGAGAAATCAGCAGACTCATGGAGGGATGAGCATGGAGTCAGACCAACTGACTGAAAGTTATGCGCTTAAGCCCAGTTGGCTACTACGCGTTTCCACAACAGTCACAAACTTCTTTAAATGTGATTTGAGTTGGACAAAATGCTGAGCTTTCTTCACCAGAGTTTCATGTAAGTTGAGATTATTGATAGCAGCCAAAAAAAAACAGTCCGTAATGAGGCAAAAGCGCAATGCACAATCGGAAAACAATTTAATTTATTTAGTTCGATTATTTCTCTGAATTAAACGACAACTGACTATTCTATATGTTTGTTACGATTATGGAATATTCGGTTTCAACAGCTGTTCAGTGGTTATTCCACAAGTAAGGATTCTTTGACCAGTCTCTCCAACCAGATAAATACATCATCCTTTGGGATTTACAAACTAACTCCAATTCTAATTGGTGGATGGTGACTAGGAGTGGAATCCAGGATGCGCATTTCGTCCTATTTGGGGCTCGTCAGCTAACAGGATGTACCTGCATTTCCCAGTAAGTGATGATGTTTCCCCCGAGGCTCGAACCCAGTGCCCATAGTTTCAAACGCCGAAGCGTTATCCGCTAGACCACTTGGGTCACGAGAGCCACCACTTGTGCATCCTCGATTCCACTGCTAGTCACCATCCACAAATTAAATTCTACTTAAATCCCCAGACATCGTGGAAGCATCTGCACAAGAAGCCCAAATGTCAAACTGAGATAGAACACCTCGGTCAAATCAATTGACGGAAAAATCTAAAATTCAATTAACTCCTATTCTACCTAATCATTGTGTCCGTGAATGCAAGTTTCTTCTACTTTTAGACATGATGGAGAAGATTAGTAAGCTCAATTGGTTGATTTTAATGTAGTTATGCTCTCTGAGCTGGCTGTTTTATTTGCGAAGCTTTCATTGCCTCCTACTAGGCAGCATCTCTTTTCAGTGCATACTTTCATCCGAGGAAGTGAGCTTTCAGATTCCTCTACGAGTTTATTAGTTGTCGCTCCTGGTGCTAACCTTGAACGTGATTGGTTGTTTTCGTGTGTTTTCATACCCTGTAGGTGGCTACTTGTATTCGTACTGATTGTTTCTCTGACTTGAAGTTTGATCCTTCGTGTGATTTGTAAGATTTCCTTCTTATCGACTGGTAAATTTTGTCTATGTCAATGTTTCAACTGATTGACGATTCACTGGAATACCAGGCAGGCTTCTGAAAATTCTCCAGCATTCTTGGTGTTTCCTCTATGTAATATTTGAAAACACTACATTGGCCAAAGTGGAGCCCCCCCCCTTCGTCTTCACATCCATGATCATAAACTAGCCGTCAAAAGATATGACATACACACCTTCATATCGCTGCATACAGATAACCACGTACATCAATTCGATTGAAACAACGTTCAAATAATAGACAAAGGAAACACCGAGAATTCCAGACAATTTTTAGAAGCTTGGCATTCCAGTGAATCGTCAATCAATAGAACCATTGACATAGACAAAATTTACCAGTCGATAAGAAGGAAATCTTACAAATCTCACAAAGGATCAAACTTCAAGTCAGAGAAACAATCAGTACGAATACAAGTAGCCACCTACAGGGTATGAAAACACACGAAAACAACCAATCACGTTCAAGGTTAGCACCAGGAGCGACAACTAATAAACTCGTAGAGGAATCTAAAAGCTCACTTCCTCGGATGGAAGTATGCACTGAAAAGAGATGCTGCCTAGTAGGAGGCAATGAAGGCTTCGCAAATAAACCATCCAGCTCAGAGAACACAGCTACATCAAAATCTTCTATTTTTACTCAAAAGTCTTTTGTCTGATAATCTAAATAACGTCGACCAACTTGTGGAACCTTACAAGAGCACTATACAGCATTTAGTCTTATTGGGTCAAAAGTGTCCAGAAATCAGGATAAATCTTATCTTTGTAAAGACTGAGCACAAACCCTAGTTTGTATGTACTGTCAAATCCCAGGAATTACTCCCGAACAGACAGTCAGTCAGTCTGTGATGAGGTCATATTTTAGAGATTGACTCTGACACGAAAATACCCACCTACGCAAACACACACACACACACACAAACACTAGAAACACAGAACTTACAAAGAACATTGTCACCAGTGTTAATATCAAGAATATAGCATGTTTGTGATGAAAGGGCTTGGCATTATTCTCTTGAAGAAGAAAATCTTCCAATTCAGAGGGTCCTGTAGGTATTTGTTGATTTCTTGAAACTGGAGGTGTTGAGGATGAAGTGGATTGCTGTTGATTGGTTGCACAATAACGCGCAAGAATTCTACAAAATATTTGTAAAAAAATTGGCAAAAACTCAGCGATAAGAGATAAAAATACAAAAATAAATTATTCACATTTCTTCTTTCTCTACGAGGGGAATGTTTTGCGTGTGTTCGTGAGTGTGTGTGTGTGTGCATATGTGAGGATATTTGTCACACACACTCTTACTATGTGATAAGTAATGATGATACCTTCATTCAGTTGAACAAGCTGGAGTAGGTGGAAGCGGAGATTCCCTGGACCTGGCGGCAGGAAACTACACGAGCACGTGCCCTGACAGAGAATACCCTCTCTTAACTACTCTCTCCGACAGCAACCGAAGCTGCACCAGAAAAGAGAAATCAGTTGTAAAATCAGTTCTCCAGAATAAATGATGAATTAAAACAGATAGAAGAAGCGTTGGTGTCGAATAACTATCTTATAAAATTCATTAGGAAGATCATTAAAGGCCAAAAACAAAATAAAACTAATTGTGAAACTAGTAGTGATAACATAAATAAGAGAGAATATAAGTCATCCCCAGTTATACCATATAAAGAGGGGACATATGAGACACTACGTAGGATTCTGAATAAAATAGGAATTAGGGTGGCATTTAAACCTACAAACTCACTCAGGGACAAGCTCTGTAGGTTAACGGACCCAGTTGACCCAATTAGACTAAATAATATTATTTACAAAATACCATGCAATGACTATGAGGTCAACTACATAGGTCAAACTAGTAGGTCAGGGGTAGTCAGATTGTCAGAGCATAAGAATTTAGCTAAGGTAAGAATGGTTGACACCGAGAAGATACGTAATTTAGAAAAAAGCTCAGCAATTGCAATGCATGTGCTAACACACAACCACACAATAGGGTGGGAGAGGGTTAAAATTCTAAAAAGTAATCTAGGTAGGTGGAGAGAGAGGTTGATTACTGAATCCTTGTTCATCGAGTCTACACCCAACAACACATGCAATAGGAATGACTCGTCACTCATACCTGAAATATGGAAAATACAATTACCAATCAAATCAAGTGAAAATCAAGAGAAAAACAATGGAACTATATAAATGAATTTAGGAAGTGGTGTGATTACCTTGATATGATTATGAGCAGTAGTAATAAATTGTGCTCGAAACGTGGTCATCAGTAAACATTACTTACTGTATAACACTGTGAGACTTTATCAAAACAAAATTTACCCATAATGAAACGCAATTCCATTATGGGTAAAATTTATTTTGATAGAGTCACTACACTGTGGTGTTATACAGTAATATTTACTGATGATGACCACTTTTGGAGCAGAATTTATTACTATTGCTCATAATTATATCAAGGCATTACACACACACACAAACAACTTTCTTGCTTCGTTTGTATAATTCCATTATTTTTCATCGTTTGACTTGATTGATAGTAGTAGTAGTAGTAGTATTTTCCCTATATCTCCGGTATGAGTGATCAGTTATTCCTATTACACACAACCAGACAATAGGATGGGAGAGAATTCTCTAACCAATGTCAGCTCATGATGAAATCCTGAAACCAAATATACAATGATTCTTACTGTGACAATATATAATAATATACCTTTGGAAACCGTTGTCTCTATCACACCACCATAGTACTATTGCCATGGTGACAGCCTTGTTTCTGATTTCTCCTGACTAGATTTATAACTTTTGTATTTCTTTATAATTTGTGCACAACTCCATATTTCCCTTCCCCCTTCATTTCTAAGTGCATCCTGATTACAACTGATTCATTAAATTATTCCTCTTATATAACTTAATTGTATTACATTCATTCAACTAATTTTAAGCCTTGATTAATGATGACAGCTTTGTCTGTGACAACTCATCACTTCTTTTTTTACTACTAGCCTCTCTTTCATGAAAAAGAGATTGTATAATAATAAATTCAATTGTACAGCTAAAAAAAGGGAAAGTAGATTCGCCCTGAAAAGAGCCTCTTTGTTGAACTACGCGTTTTATTTTTTTTTATTTTTAACAATGTCTGGATGGAGATTATTCATGAATTGGTAGGTTTAAACACTCTAGGCACTTAGGCAGATTTATACAGAAAGCTATCATTCATGTGGTTAAACTTGGTTCTTCTTCATTCCATCCCTTCCAAGAGGAGCAGAGGGATTAAGGGCTTTTGGAGTTACAGTAGCAGTGATATTGCTTTCACTATGAGGCGATGGTTCACCTCACACTCAACCTCCTCACTTTTCCCGGTTTATTACTGATCACTCCATTATGGATAAGAATTTATTTTAATAAGTCACACAGTGGTGTTACATAGTAATAATAACTGATGACCACGTTTCAACCACAAATTATTACCACTCATAATCATATCAAGCTACTCACACAAGGTTTTCCTTCGTTTATATACATATGTGGTGGTGATAATATGAGCGTGTTATTGATCAATTACAATCAGATGAGAAATAAGACGAGTGTTTTCATAGTCATGATAAGTGAGTAACTTGTTAGAATGTTGTGATGTACGTGAATTTAATTGAAATAGAATTTTGAGATTATTTATTATCCTCTTCTGATTTAACTAACTGACTGGTGGTAGTAATAACTTCCATACATATCTCTGGTATTTGCATTGAGTCATTTCTGTTGCATGTGTTCTGTTGGGTGTAGGTTGACTCTATGAACCAGAATTCAGTAATCAATCTCTCTCACCCTTCACCTACATAGATTACTTCTAAGAATCTTAATCCTCTCCTACCCAACGTATTGTGTAGTTGTGCATTAAAGCATGTAATGCAATCGCTGACCTTCTTTTTTTTAAATTACTTATCTTCTCGGGGTCCACCATTCTTGCCTTAGCTAAAGTTTTGTGTTCCGATAATCTAATAACCCCGGATCTTCTACTTTGACCTATATAGATGACCTCACAGTCATTCCAGGGTATTTCGTAAATTATATTATTTTGTTTAATTGGAACTACCGAGATAAGTAATTTAGAAAAAAGCTCAGCAATTGCACTGCATACATTAACACAACCACACAATAAGGGGGGACAGGGTTAAAATTCTGAAAAGTAATCTATGTTGGTGGAGGGTGAGAGAGATTGATTACTGAATCCTGGTTCATAGAGTCAACCTACACCCAACAGAACACATGCAACAGAAATGACTCAAAGCAAATACCAGAGATGTGTATGGAAGATATTTTTTTTATTTATTTATTTTTTATTTACGGCTTGATTCCACACTGTATTTTTGGTACAAGTATGTAATTTTCAGCATGGATATCGGTAGCCCAAATTTTGCAGGCCGACCATAAATATCAGGTGTGCGTCGGTGCGGGCTCGAACCCCGGACCATGTGCATGGTCGTGGAGAGTCCTAACCACTGTGCCACCGCCAGTCAGTCAGTCAAATCAGAGGAGGATAATAAATAATCTTAAAATTCTATTTCAATTCAAGCACGTCACAATATTCTAACAAGTTACTCACTTATCATGACTATAAAAACACTCGTCCTTTTTCCCATCTGATTGTAATTGATCAATAACACGCTCATATTATCACCACCACATATGTATATAAACGAAGGAAAACCTTGTGTGAGTAGCTTGATATGATTATGAGTGGTAATAATTTGTGGTTGAAACGTGGTCATCAGTTATTATTACTATGTAACACCACTGTGTGACTTATTAAAATAAATTCTTATCCATAATGGAGTTATACTCTACCACAGTGCCCAAGTTTTATACTTATATCATGAATACTGGTCAGTAAGTAAACTAGGCGAGGTTTGAGGATGCATCTGTGTTAAGAATCGAACCTGTAGCTCTGACGTGATTGACAAACATTCTACCAAAGCACAGTTAAACTTATAGAGCAACAAAATTATGTCAAAGCGACACACACACACAAAGTTACGATCAGTACCAAGATAGAAGAAGAAGAAGAATAGAGATAGACTAGAGATGGTGAAACAAGTACATACAATCCCATGTATTTACTACGACATGTTTGCATAATTATTGAGTTACTGTTGTGCCTCTTAATTTCTTTTTATTGTTTTATATATATTGTTAACTTCGTTCACTTAACTTTCTTTGCTTACCAAAATCGAGTATGATGAGAATTTAAACCAACTGTATCAGACCCCGCTATATTTAACTCTGTCTATCCACTTTGAAAAAACTAGAACCACTGGTTGGTGCGAATGTTCCTTCTTCTCGACCGATAGCTGCTACTTGACGTGGTGGTCGGGCTTGCACATCACAATGACCCAACAAGCTGCACTGGCTGGAACGAATGTTCCTGCAGATCCTATAGTGCTAAGAAGGTTGTTAGTTAGGATAGCGATTAGACTAAAAGCAGTTACTGGTATTGTCTGAGAATCTTTCTTACACTATGCTGGGGATCTGAAGGCGAAGTCGTACTGCTGAGGAACAGGGGTGTAAAAGCAGTGAGGTGTTTCCTTCAGATGACCAGCATGCCAGTCAGCTATGCTGTCTTTCCACTACGGAGAGAGGGGGTTAAAAAAGGTCGACCCCAAAAATTGTACATCCCGACTTACCCTACGGTGGTCTGTTACCCGCAATAAGTTTACTAATACGGAACCAATCCCAGAAACCAGTTCATACAGGCCGTGTGTGACCGACCGGCCTCAAGCAGTTGTCCCCCAGGCTCTGAGGTCACGCAACACTAACCCTCTTTCTGTTTCAGGTACCCGAAGAATCAATCAACTTCCACGGTGTGGACAGCCGGGAAGTAACAACCGCCCAAAACCCTTCCAAAAAGCACACGACGCTTTCCTGAGCATCATTATCCTTTACTGACATCACCTTCCTCATCTTGCTTCTATACTACAGTTAGTACTATTCTGCAGGCTAGTGAGTCATCTTCACTTCACTCTGTGACCACAAACAACGGTGAGAGTCATAGAATCTTCCTGCAGGTACTATTGTGCTAGATAGGTCATTTAAATAGCGTCCAGAATAAAAGTCATTCACATTTTGTTGGAGGACGTGGGTGAGGGGAAGAGTGGTTTGACAGCAAAGCCCTACAGTTAGTGAAGACAAAGTTTCCAATGGTGCAATATTTCCTTCGATCAACTAACGAAACCAGCTTATGCTGCTAGTTGAATTTGCGAAAGGGATGGATTTAAAAACATCAACGCCTAAAATTATACACTCTGACTTCCCTTGATACGGTTTATAAAAGCCAGTGGTAAGATTGTTGTATGGCCGGCGAAAAGTAACTGTCTCCTGGGTCTTCCTTTATTCAACACTCATTTTTCATACTGTTTCAGACATTCATTTCATTCATTTGTGAGAAATCTGTCCCCATCAGGAAACTAACTTATTCCTATCCCAGAAAACCATGAGAAACCAACAGCGAATCAAAACGTTTTCTTGTATTCAATTATGCTGTCCACCAGTTTAAAATAAACAGTGGCATTATTTGATGTTAAATCACTCATAACCCTACTGGAGGTTGATCGCAGGACATTGAGGTTACTAAGTCTGCCTGTTGACCCAGTCAGCGAATCCAATGGCTTATAGATTCTGACGATATACATATAACGCCTACAATCAGCTAGTATAAGTTCTCATACCAGACTTATTCTTTCCTTTAATTCCTAGAGGAACATAGGGCATCAGCCGCGCGTCTCCATTGCGTTCGGTTCTCTGCAAGCGTTTTCACCTGGCTCCAAGTCTGTCCACAGGCTTTCATCTCCTCTTCACATGCCCTCCTCCATATAACCCTCGCAGTGATGACCGATTCGCCGCTTCCCTTTCAGGTTCCACTCAAGGGCTTCTCTAGTAATGTCACTTGACAGTTTCCTCAGAGTATAACCAATCCATCTCCATTTCTTCCTGCCTATTTGTTGCACAATCGGTTCCTGGTTGGTTCGCTGACTGCCAGAGATCCCTCTTTGTTACTGATCATTTCTGGCCGGCCATCTAATCTTGAGCGAAGTAATGAGCGAAGGCAGCTGTTGATGAAGGTCTGTAGGTTGTTTAAGGTGCTCTTTATGACGCGCCAAGTCTCTGATCCGTATAGTGAGTAGCACTGACTTCACATTCGAGTTGAAAATCTAGATCTTACTTTTCATGGCAAGTAATGCTGTTGATCTCCACACAGACTTGAGAGTAATGAAAGCTTGTCTTGCTTTCCCGACCCTGGTTTTGATATCCTCGTCAGTTCTGTCTGTCTGTAGTTGAAACGATGCTTCCCAGCTCAGTAGGTAGGTAAAGGAGGTTGTTTCTTTCAGGTTCCTCCCATTTATGCCGGCTGATTGTTGTCTGTTGTTGTTGTTGGTCGGGAATCTTCATTGCTTCTGTTTTCTCAGTGTTCACCTGAAGTCCTGTCTTCCCTGGATGCTTCTTCTGCGAACTTGTTGCTTTTCATCACTTGCATATCTTCCAGTTTGTGGGGAATCAAACATATATCATACTAGACTTAGTGGATCTCATTTGGCAGTTCAGTTTTTTGGAAACCAACAACACCTGGAACTACGCGTATTGCTCAGTGTCAGCCTTTTTTTTGCAATGCAATGATTGGGTAATACCTTCGAACACAACCTGAATTAATGAGTTAAGACGGTGAAACATAAAATTTGTGTAATAACTATAATAAGCAGAATTTTATCGATCAATAAATTTTTATACAGTTCACATATATTGCTTTTGATGCATTGTGTACTATCAGGTGTTAGTAAGATCACGTTTCATATTTCACTACTGTTATTATCATTATTATTATGATTATTATTACATCGTTAATTCTTCACCGGGATACTATCACATTATTATCTGTACTAGTTTATAGGATCAGGTGATCGTATGGGACATTATCGATTCGTAATCCTATTGATCAGCTGTTATCATTATTATAATTATTCTTACTATTCATTCCTTTATTCACTCACCGCTTAGTCTAGGCTCAACAATCATGCATAGACTAAGTGGTTTTCCGGAGGCACAAACACGAGAGAACCAGGCAGGTTGTAAACCTGGAATAGATCATAACTTCACCCTTCGACAGATTCTGGAACATAGGCATACCTACCGTCGGCGCGTTCAACAATCGTCATATTTCTTGACCTAAAGGCGGCAATGTTAGGCTGTGAAGCGAATGCCAGGAAAATACACCACAGTGATCAAGGCACTCTATTTGAAGTCATCCAGCCAGGTGAGAGCCTACGGAGTTGGCGTCTGAAGTGGTGACAACCGGAGTTGTCCGTCAAGGATGCCTACTATCCCCATTTCTGTTTAATTTTATCTTAGATGTACTAATGGGAGTGACTCAAAATGATTTCAGCAACTCAGGAGTTTTTACTTGTTACCACCAGGGAAGAATCTTGTTGACTCACAATCTACAGATGATATAGCCCTACTTCCTAGGTGAAGACGGTGACAAAATGCACAGTCTTCTGAACAACAGTCTTCGAATGTTTGGCGGAAGACTCGCTCCTGTCAAATGTAAGATGATGCTACAGGACTGACTGGACTACATTGACTCACTGCTAGCTTAAAGAAAGAGGGGAGTGAAATGGCTAGTGGAGCGTGTTGACCACTTCACGTATTTAGCGAGTTGCATCAGCCACCGCCAGTGAGTTGATCTAATCGCTGAAGCAATCTCAGCACGGATAAAGAAGGCTCGTTTGCTATATGCTAACTTACGCTACCTCTGGCATACACGTGATATCTGGCTGGCTGTCGACCAAAAGGCGCGTGTACTGCTGAGTAGTTCGCTCTGTCCTACTTCATGGCTGTGAGTGAGACATAGTCATTGAAAGTGAATAATATGAAAAAGCTAGCTAGCTGTGTTTGATCATAGGTGTCTGCGTTCTATCTTCCATATCAGGTGGTATAATAGGGTAAGCAATATTGAAGTTGGATATCGATCAAGTGTCAGGTAAGCAAGGGAAATCAATCGATGAGGCTGTGAAGTTACATCGACTGACATGGTTAGGAAAAGAGTTACGCACACCTTCCTAGACGGTCAGTGTTATCTGACATGGGATCAGGTTTGAAAATAGTTAGCACATGGTGGTCAAACGAAACTATGGCTTCAGTTAGAAAATCGTCAGAAACCGAAGAGTATTCAATGGCCACTCTAGCGAAAAACCTTTTGAAAATTAAGCTGATGCAGGCGCACGGAACTGATGAGGATATCAAAGCGCGATGATTGGGAAAACAAGACAAGCTTTCATTACTCTCAAGTCTGTGTGGAGGTCAACAGCATACAGCACTCAGAATGAAAAATAAGATCCGGATTTTCAACTACAATGTGAAGTCAGTGCTACTATTAGGACCAGAGACTTGGTACGTCATAAACAGCACCGCAATCAAACTACAGACCTTCATCAACAGCTGTCTTCACTCAATACTACTCAATATCAGATGGCCGACCAGAAAAGATCAGCAAGAGGGAGGAAGGGATCTCTGGCAGCAAATCAACCAGAAACCGACTGCGCAACAAATAAATCGGAAGAAATGGAGGTAGATTGGCTATAATCTGAGGAAACCATCAAGGGACATTACTAGACAAGCCATTGCTCGAGTGGAACCCGAAAGAGAAGCGGCGAGTTGGTCGTCAGTGGAAGGGTGACTTGTAGGAGGTTATGTGAAGAGGAAATGGAAACATGTGGGCAGACTTGGAGCCAGGTGAACCGAACGCAATGGAGATATGCGGCTGAAGCCTTATGATCCTCTAGGAATTAAAGGAAATAATAATAATAATACTCCTGAATGTTAACTTTTAATCAGCCAGCTTACTTTGCACACTCTTTCCTTTGTCTTTTATCACAACGATCACAGAATCCAGCATAACTACAAGGCGGTGGTTGCCGTCTGATTATCTGTTGTCGAAATTGTTTTTGTTCGTGTTCATCTTGTTGCTGATGTTGGTGTTGGTCGGATTGGCGTTTTCCACCTGAACAACTTGTCTCACATTTGGATAATGTGGAATAGTTCAGTGTATCAGCACAAGCACAACTCTCAAGAGAAGCAGCAGCGGCAGAAGTAGCCGTTGGATTACTGTTGCCAGCTGTTGAATTACACTGTCCTATTCGCCTTTGACTTGTCACTTCATCATCCGGTGAATTCAACTCATTATGAAATTGATGAAATTGTCCATTGGATGTTTCATAGCCTGTCTAAAATAAAAAATTAAAAAGAAAATCAAGACATCATCTATTCCAGGCTGGGTTTAGTGCCTATCAAAAAAAATACATAAACCAGGTTACCACATAAACGAACAATAGTAGACTTTAGAAATACGCAGCCATTTGAATTATCGAAACACTTAGCTCTAATACTGTTTCCCACATTAGGAATCATTCGAAACTCTAGGCTGACTAACTAATTCATATATGAGATGAAAAATAAACTAAATGACATTTAACTAGCGAATGATGAAACAATAGTTAGTTTTCATTATAATAAAGGTGTTTTTGTATTTCCCAATTAATGAAAAACAAAACAATATTGTCTTTACTGACGTTTCGCTATTAAATGCTAATAGCTTTCTCAAAGTAGTTTTGATATAAATAGTTTTTACACTTATATACCAACCAATATGGCCTTAGAAGCAGTTAAAAATCAAGTCAGCTCTAACTCCATTATAAATAAGGCCATATATATATATATATATATATATATATTCTACAGCTGTCGTCGTACTGGTTACCGGTTTTTGACTAAGACCTCATTTTTCAAGTTGGACAACACATTCTAAACACAATTAACGGGATAAGCTTCAAAGGTTAGATAGTGAGCCTTTCAGGTCATTCTGTAGGTAAGCAAACACACGACAGTCACAAACTTCTAACTATAAGTTTTCAAATTTATAAGAGCAATTTTCAAGTATTTGTTTTGTAGGGATTTTGTGTTTGATTGCACGAAGGATTTCATCATGAGCTGATATGAGTTAGAGAACCACTGGAAAACCTGGGAGTACTGGATAGCTGTTTGGAACCTTTTATCAGTACGCACCCACAGGGGTTCGAACCCAGGACCTTCTGGTTACAAGGCGAGCTAGTAGACCATTGAGCCACTGGGACCCGATCCAATGGTTCTTGAATTTTAACTTCTGCCTATTCATGACATAGTGAGACCATTTCGCTATCGATCGTCTTCGATCTGTTGTACCCTACTGGTCACGGCTTCCCACTAGAATCCCAGGTCAACTGTCTGAATAGTTGAAGAGTCCCAAACTAGGATGAAACAGATGATTAGTACTCCCAGGTTTTCCAGTGGTTCTCTAACTGATGTCAGCTCATGATGGAGCCTTCCATGCAATTTATGAGAGCAATTGAAATTTCTATGCATATCAGCTTACTAGCAAAAATTTCTCAAGAAGAACCAAGTCCTGAATACCATTCGCTCTGTTTTCGGTAAGTCACTCACCTAATTGACATTCAACATACCCGCCGTGTAATCTATACTCTAATGATGACGATGATGATGAAGATAGACTGCCTTGAAACTTAGTTGTTTAGAATACCGTTTTACCACCCCCTGAACAAATTTCTCAGATATCAGGCTATAAGGCATGCCACTTACTGCTGTATTATGAAGGATGATGATTCTACCCAAGTGGAGAGAGTTAAGTAGGTGGAAACAAACCCAGGATCCAGTGAGCTGAAAATTGACTATTTACGACAATGAACCATCTCCTCAATACCACCCATAAAGTCAATACTTATCTTACTTAAATTGTGCTCATTTCAAAGCCTTTTTCAAGCAGCAGCCACAACTGGCGGTCCATCTAGTGTGTTGGACACTTTGTTAACTTCACCCATCGAATCCAGTCTGCAACCAAGCAAAGAACCAGACAATAGTTACACCATTTACCAACTAGTCTCCAATCAAAACATGAACGATGACCATTTCATAGGATAATGAGTATAATTTAGAAAAGGTAAACGGAGAGAGAAAACAAACTGAACGCTTACTTGTGATGTATCTGTAATCTCATACGAATCGTAAACAGGTGCCTCCATTCGTTTAAAGGCAATCAGACATGCTAAAGTGATGGCTGCATTGAGTACCAATACCACTAGTGAAATAATAAGCTTAAAATAGTTTTAAAAAACAGAGAAGAAGTAGAAGAAAAGAAACAGTTTATTCTTGAGTGCAATATTCATAACTCAATTTGTTACGTGGAAAGGATATTTATTAGCTTGATAGTCGTGCATCTTTCTACTCAGTTACTTGGTACAGTGAGGACATAAAGTCAACCATCATCATTGTTCCCAATGAAGAGTGGGTGGGGTTGGATAGGGTTACCCAATCTCCCCATTTCTCTTTAACTTTGTCATCAATGACATTATGGAACCGGCTCTGAAGGACATGTGTGCTGATTGTGGTGTATAGTTCTGCTCCCTGGAGAAAGACTATTCGATATCGAGTGTGCAAACGATATCGTCCCACGTATCAGTCAGTCAGTCAGTTTTCAATATAGAACTTTGCACCATTGTACAGCAGTTTAGTTCAACATACTCCCTCCATGTAGCACACAGAGCAAGTGGAGAAAGTAGAATAAATGCACAATAGAAACAGTAGACAGGGGTACGAGACAAAAAGTATAGTAATAACGAAGAACAATATAGTTTCATTCGGTATTATAAGTCACAAGGAGTGGATGCATCTCCACCAGCTATTGAGAACGAATTTCAGCCATATCAGGAAGTCTACAGCTTCCTACGTGACTAGCTTAAACTAACTGTTGTGGATTTCACTGCCTGATGAAGCCATGTTTTGGTTTACTTACCACTAGCTAACTCATTTCCATTCTGACAGTATGTCAGTTAACATTGACCGTTGTGGAGGAAGCCGATGGCTAGGGATGCGTGCGTAACACATATTCAAACCATCTCAGTCGATGTAGCTTCACAGACTGGTCAATTGATTTCCCCTCCCACCTACCTAGCACTCAACGCCTAACCTCACTATTGTTCACCTTATCATACCACTTCACACGGGATATAGAACGAAAGCACCTATGATCAAAGACAACATGCCTTTTCGTATATTCCTCCTTCAGTGCTCATGTCTCACTCACAGCCATAAAGGAGGATAGAGAGAGATACTGAGCAGTACGTACATCCTTTGATCGATAGCAAGTCAGATATCATGTCTACACCAGAGACGGCGTAAACTGGCATACGTAAAACAAGCCATCTCCATCCGTGCTGAGATTTCATCAGCGATCAATCCTCTGGTGTTGTGTGATGCTATTCCCCGAAAAAGTGAACTGGTCAACACGCTCTACCACTTCACTTCCTATTTCTAAACTGGGAGTCAGTGTAGTCCAGTCCTGTAACATCATCTTACATATGACAGAGGGGGAGAATCGCATGCGAAACATTCGTAGATTGCAGCTCAAGGTGTTCAGAAGACTCTGCATTTTGTCAGCGTCTTCACCTAGAAGGGAGGACTATATCGTCTGAATATTCTAAGTCAACGAGATTATTCCCTGGTGGTAGCAAGTCAATCCCTGAGTCTCTGAAGTGAGTTATGGTTAAGTCCATTAGTACATCTATGATGAAATTGAATAGAAATGGGGATAATGGGCATCCCTGACGGACACCACTAGTCGTCACCACTTCAGATGACAACTCGCCGTAAGCCCTCACCTATCTGGATGAGTTCGAATAGGGTGCCTTAATCAGTTCAATGTATTTTCTCGGAATTCCCTTTACAGCCAAGCATCGCAAGAGAACCTCTCAGTTGACAGAATCAAATGCCGCCTTTAGGTAAAAAAAATACAACGATTGTTGGACCCCAACGGTAAGAATGCCTATGTTCTAGAATCTGTCGAAGGGTGAAGATATGATCAATACACCCTCTTCGTGGTCTAAAACCTGCCTGGTTCTCTCGTGTTTATGCCTCCCGAGCACCACTTGGTCTACGCAATATTATGGAGCCTAGGACTTTAGATACTATATTAGTCAAGCTAATCCCTCTGTGATTATCACAGGAAGACTTGTCTCCCTTCTTGAATATGGGGATAATCAGTGACTTACACCAACTCTATGGGACTTTCTCTGATTCCTAGAGGCTGCCTGGTACCTCAGTTAATGCAGACATTTAACTATCTCCACTGTACTTAAATACCTCTGGATTCACTCCATCAGGTCCTGCTGCTTTGCCATGTTCTAGACTAGTGACAGCTTTAGTAACCTCAGTTAGGCACAGTGGACCTGTGTCTATATCCCATTCAGGGAGGTGTTAGATGTTTGGCAGGTTGAGCGTGGCTATAGGCCAACTAAAATGGCACTGCTTCTCATAGTGTTCTTTCCAGCGTTAAAAGCAGATGTTTCCGCCCAGGCCCAGGCGCATTATTCACATATAAAATTGGCTATTCAACGATGCAATGAGTTTGAATCCATCCTATCTGACTTACTTGATTTGTACCAAACTGAAAGACTGGATCTATATCTGTCATCATTTGACCCGGAGAAGTTAACAACAGTATAACAGTGATAACAGCGGGTAATCTACACAAAAGCACATTGAAAAACAAAAAAGCCCATCTATATATAATCAGAAAAGAAATCAAAATAAACTTGCACTGTTATTATTATTACTGTAATCGTTATATAGTATGGACATGTCAAAGTAAACTGTATCCTGGAATGATATGGCAATCGCATGTTGATTTAAGCATAAAACTTGGGCACTATTATTATTGTTATTATTTTTGTTCCCTTGGGTTCCTAGTGGAACATACAGAATCAACTGCACGTCTCCACTTGCTTCTGTCTTCCTTCCGCTGAACTTTTCACCTGAAGCCATGTTAGTTAGTTCATACTGTTTCAACTCCACTTCAAACGATCTCATCCATATCACCTTTGCACCGACGTCCCACTCGCCGCTTCCCTTTCAGCCTGGTTCCACTCCAGCAATGGCCTGACGCGCGTGTGATGTCATTCAGCGGCCCGGCCTCCTCAGCGAGTGTCCGATCCATCTCCACTTTCTCCTGCATATTCGTTGGGCGATTGGTTCTTGCTTTGTTTGTTCCCATAATTCCTTGTTGGTGATTCTTTCCGGCCCGGCTATCTGATCTTCAGTATTGAGCGAAGACAGTTGTCGGTTGATAAAGGTATGCAACAGGCTGTTGGAAATATTCTTTGTGACCCGCCTGCCAAGTTTCTCATCCATATAGAAGAACTGAGTGACTTGATGTTTGTATTGAAGATCCGACCGAATTTTGTTGTTGATCCTGGCTGAGTGACGAAGATTTCCAGATTGTTTTCAGGTTGATGAATGTGTTTCTCACCTTCCTGATTCTCGCTCGCTTTGACATCCTCATCCGTTCCGACTGCCTGTAGTTGAAACAATGCTCCCTAGATAAGTGAATGAAGCAACCTATTTCAAATCCCTCCTGTTAATGGTGATTGGCGCTGGATGTTGCTGCTGTTGTTGTTGAGGCCGTTGGTTGGTTGGTTATTTTCACAATATCCATCTTGTCTATATTCACCTGGAGTCCTGTCTTCGCCGGCTGCTTCTTCGACCAGTTTGTCCGTTTTCGTTTGTAAGTCTTCGATTTTATGTGATATCAAACATAAATCATCCACGCGCGAAATCCAGGTCTTCTAGGTTCTTCACTTCCATCTGTCCAGAATATCCCTGTCTTCTGGTTTCCCACTGTCTGACGCATAATTGAGTCCACCACAATTAAGAATATCATTGTGGGTTATAATAAGCTCCCTTGTCTGACTCCTGTGTTTACTCCGAACGCCTCGCTGAGTTTTCCATTGTGCATCACTTGGTATGTGCCGTTGTCGTACAGCTGTTGAATAAGGTTGATGAATATTTCGGGTACGCCGTAGTACTCGAGTAGTTTCAAAATAACTTCGTGGTCAACCCTGTCGAGGGCCTTCTCAAAGTCTATAAAAATGAGGTAGAGGTTTGATTGCCATCCCATGTTTTCTTCCGCAATGATGATGCGTAGAGTTGCAATTTGGTTAGAACATGATTTGCATTTCCTGGGGCACTTTGGTAGTGTATAACTCCATTATGGATAAGATTTTATTTTGATAAGTCAAACAGTTGTGTTATACAGTAATATCAACTGATGACCACGTTTCGAGCACGAACTATTGCCACTCACAGAACTTTTTTCCTTCATTTATATACACGTATGAAATTGACTAGATATTCGACCCCTAGTGACTGTATACTAATTAGGAGTCCAAAACTATAGGATGAAACGATTATTCAGTACCTCCCCCCCTCGATGGTCAACACTCCTCTAACTGACATCAGCCCAAGGTGGAATTTGAGACTTAACATCCACGATACCAGTATATATATACATATTAAAATAGAGAAAAATGAATGCTCTTCATATCAATAATAAACAATTATAATCGATGCTAAAACTAATTTTTTTTAAAAATTTTCTAGAATAGAATTTATATTGACGTGTCTCCTTTTGCGCGTGTTTATGTGTATGTATGTGTATAAGTGTGTGAGCGTCAGTATAATGAAAAATATTAAATTATAATTTTTTTAAGCCTCTCATCGCATATCGAGGTTGAGAAGAAGAGAAACAATCGATTTCACTATCTATTATTTAAAATCTTTCTCTCCGTGTTGTCATTTAAACGCTGTAGAAGAATTAAAAATAAACTAACAAAATAAGAATTTTATTTAAAGTGTTGGTTTGTAGGGATTTGATTGGTTTCAGGATTTCATCATGAGCTGACATTAGTTAGAGAATCATTGGAAAATCAGCTGGGAATACTGGACAGCTGTTTCGTCCTAGTTTGGGAGTCTTCACCAGTACGCACCCCCCGGAATTCGAACCCAGGACTTTCCGGTTACAAGATAAGCTCGTATTTTAGTTTGATTTCAAGTGGTTTTCTATTCACGGTGGAGAGAAGAAAGAAAAAGTTGAAAAAAAGACTGTTTTGTTTTGGGAGAGAAATGTAAGGAGTTATGTAAGGAATAATGAATAGGAGGAAAGACGACTGATGCAAAATATGCAAAAAAAATTTAGTGTCCATTCATATGACAGTAATTTCCTTTTTGCTCTGCTAGACAATGAGTGATATCATCAAGATGTCTACCGCTTCAAAGGAATGCGAAAGTCAAATTAACACATATGACCAGTTGAATCTGTTATATAACAATCCAAAACAATTAATGTACGGGGTAAAACTTGGACACTGTGTGGTAGAATGTAATTTATTTGAATCAATACACAGTAACGCAATAACTGCGTTAGTGGCACAGCGGTAAGGACGCTCGCCGACTATGCACATGGTCCGGGGTTCGATCCCCGGCCACGGACGCTCTCCTTTACCTCTCTAAGTCAGAAACAATTCTGGTAAAGAGGAAAGGTTGGGCATGAGGCTGGCTAGAAACCTCATCCAGTAAAAGTAAACACCACTGCTACAGAAACTTCAAGCCACTAGCTTCAGGCCCTATGTTCCACTGGAGAACGTGAAGCGAAAAAAACGCAATAACTGTATAAGCTTTCGAGCATCAATTCTTTCGCATTATCCTATTTGTTTAGTCATACGGCTTCATAATTTACCCTATCTAAGCCAACTCTCTATCTCAGACATCAAATTTGTCGGCTTAAGGACCCAATGCATCTCAAAAAAAGCAACCTCCTTTATATACCGACCTGAGAAGCATTGATTCAACTACAGGAGAATGGAACTGATGAGGATATCAAAGCAAGGATCGGGAAAGCAACGCAAACTTTCATTACTCTCAAGTCTGTAAAGTGTATCTGAAACCTTGAAGGAAGTTAATGGCTAGCCAGAGTAGGTGAGTGGTAACGTCTCTCTCTCTGATCACAGCACTTGGGGTGACACGGATTAAAATGCTCAAACAGAATATAATGTCTTCCAAGGAAGGTTGTAGATATGCCTTGATGACTTGTGAATGTCAGCAAGCACGAGATCCAAGTCCAAAGCTTCCTTACGATTGCCTTCAATTATATAATCAAGGAGAGAGAGAAATCAATGGCCAAGAAAACAGCTAATCTTTTCATATCCTTCACTTTCAGCAACCATCCAACCAGCGTAGAGGAAGGGGACAGAACTGGTCTAGTAACGTAACAGCTACTGTGAACATCACACGCCAGTCAGGCAAACAAAGAAGGAGTGGAATCCGAATAGGAGACAAAGAGTTGGGCATCTGAAAATGGCATGCAAGAGATGCCAGTTTATTATAAGCAAATGTGGAGAAAGGTAAACTGGACTTCAAAGTACATTGTGACTGCAGGCCACCTAGCATGATAGTCACATTTAAAAACTTGACTGACAGAATTCAGTCTGCACCAAGAAAAGGACTAGGCACATGACACTATGAAATTCAGTTAAAATATCTGTTCGAGCTCTGGTTTTTGTGTAATGTTATGTGGTATTGATTACGAGCTGACGACCGTAAGAGAGCCATTGGAAAACCATTTAGGAGTGTACTGGACATCAAGCTGTTTCGGCCTAGTTTGAGACTTTTCAGCGGTAGGCACCCCACCAACCAGTGTTCGAACCCATGGCATGCGATTCGCCCCTGCAAAATGTAAGATGCTGCTACAGGACTGGACCACGTCAACCCCTAACTTAGTGATAGGGAGGGAAGTGATAGAACATGTTGACCACTTCACCTACTTGGGAAGTTGTATTAGCACCAACGGACTGATTGGCGATGAAATCTCAGCACGGATCCGAAAAGCTCGAGCTGCTTTCGCTGACTTACACCATCTCTGGCGTAGGCGTGACATCCGGTTATCAACCAAGGGACGTGTGTACTGCTCATCAGTTCGCTCCGTCCTTCTCTATGGCTCTGAAACATGGCCAATACGCGTTGAAGACATGAAAAGGTTGACTGCTTTCGATCATAGATGTCTGCGATCTCTGTCTCACGTTAGGTGGTTTCACAAGATAAGTAATGTTGATGTTAGGCGTAGAGTGTTGGGCAAAAAGGGAAAATCAATCGACGAGGCTATAAAGTTACATAGACTAAGATGGCTAGGTCACGTGGTGCGCATGCCTAACCACCGCCTCCCCCGACGGGCATTGCTAGCTGACATAGGTTCAGGTTGGAAAAGAGCCAGTGGTGGCCAAACAAAAACATGGCCTCATCAATCCATGAAATCCTTGACAGTTAAACTGAGTCAGGTAGGGAGATGCAGACTCCCGGGTTGGGATCCTCGGGACTCTAGGAATCAATGGCTGGAGACAATAGGTGACATGGCTCAAAGTGATCGTTGTCAATGGCGCAGATGTATTCAGTCTCTGTAATCTTTCATATTCCTTTCCACCATTACCCATTCTGTTTCACTCTTATACTTGTCAAACTCTATTAATTCTCTTCACTCATCTTCTTGTCTACCTCTGTGGGCTATTTGGAACGTGGCAACTCGAACTGCTGCACTTCGGTGCCAAGTTCTATGTTGAATCCAGACAGTTCGAACCCAAGACCTTTTGCTTACAAGGCGAGCTAGCTCGTAGACCATAAAGCAACTGGGACCCAATCCAATGGCGAAATGGTCGCTGTATGTCGTGAATTGGCAGAAGTTAGAATTCATGGGCGGCCCATCGGATCGGGTCCCAGTGGCTTAATGGTCTACGAGCTGGCTCGCCTTGTAACTAAACGAATATAAACGTTCTTAATGCGGTATTAAGTTATTTTGTAAACTGAACAGAGCTTTTATTTTGTTTAAACAATTAGAATATAAACAGAAAACTGTAAACCATTTTTTCTGTTTTCATTAGATTTCATTAAATCATACGGATATTGAAATATTTACTAAACACAGGCAGTAACAAATAAACTGTTTATATTAGAGGGAGAGAGAGAATAAAAGTGACAATTGAAGTAGGAAGGTGAGAGAAGATAAGAGAAGAGAAAAGAAAGGCGGAGACTTGATAACCAGCATGCTTTATTGTGATACTGTGAATGTACTGCGGGCATATTCATTTAACTAGGCTAGTGTGTTTATTTGCACATAAGATATAGTGCACAGCCTACACATATATAATATTATTTACCTAAAATGCGATTATTTTTTCATGAAATGCTGTCATATGATAAATGACATCACAAAATACTTGCACAATTTATAACAGATATTATTATTTCCTTTAATTCCTAAAGGAACAAAGGCCTTCAGCCGCGCGTCTCCATTGCGTTCGGTTCTCGGCCAACTTTTTCACCCCGCTCCAAGTCTGCCCACATGCTTTCATCTCCTCTTCACATGACCTCCTCCAAGTCACCCTCTCACTAACGACCAACTCGCCGCTTCCCTTTCGAGTTCCACTGGAGCAGTGGCTTGTCTAGTGATGTTACATGATGGTTTGTTTTCTCAGAGTATGGCCAATCCATCTCCATTTCTTCCTGTCTATTTGTTTCATAATCGGTTCCTGCCCAGTTGGTTCGCTCACGGCCAGAGATCCTTGTTGCTGATCTTTTCTGGCCGGCCATCTGATATTGAGTATTGAGCGAAGACAACTGTTGACGAAGGTTTGAAGTTTGTTTGAGGTGCTCTTTATGACTCGCCAAGTCTCTGATTTGTATTGATAGTAGCACTGACTTTACATTGGAGTTGAAAATCCGGATCTTATTATTGATGCTGAGTGTTGCTGACCTCCACAAAGACTTAAGGGTAATGAAAGCTTGTCTTGCTTTTCCGACCCTGGTTTTGATATCCTCGTCAGTTCTGTCTGTCTGTAGTTGAAACGATGCTTCCCAGCTCAGTAGGTAGGTAAAGGAGGTTGTTTCTTTTAGGTTCCTCCCATTTATGCCGGCTGATTGTTGTCTGTTGTTGTTGTTGGCTAGGAATCTTCATCACCTCTGTGTTATCTATGTTCACCTGAAGTCCTATCTTTGATGCTTTTTGTGCCAGCTTGTTGCTTTTCACTTGCATATCTTCCAGTTTGTGGGAAATCAGACATATATCATCGGCGAAGTCCAGATCCTCCAAGTTTGTCTTTGTGTGAGTCCATTTTATGCCTGTTTCCTCATTGCCCGTTGTCTGTCACATTATCCAATCTACTGCAATCAGGGAAATCATTAGAGATAGTAGGCAGGCAGCTTGTCTTACTCCCGTCTTTACTTCGAAGGATTCCGTAAGTTTCCCGTTGTCGTTTACTTGTCATACAGCATTGTTGTATACCTGTTGCATGAAATGTATAATTGTCGATGGCACCCTGTAATAGCGAAGTAGTTGCCACCAAATGACCTCACGATCGACGCTGTCGAAGGCCTTTTCAAATCCGATGAAGCTGAGTGAGGTGGAGAGGAAACTTCCATTCCAAGCTCTGTTCAATGATGATCCGTAGAGTGGCGATTTAATCAATACATGGCTTGTTTCTCCTCAATCCAGCCTGTTCCGGTCGAAGTTTTTCATACTATATACACATATTAAGTGGTTGAAGGTGATCTGCAACACAACTGATATCCTCCCTCACCCCTCAGAGAATTGTGAATAATCTGTGTCAATGACAGTGCTTGTTATAAGCAGAGATGATACCATTGACCTAATGACTTACAGCTTAGTGTATTTACGCAACACAGAAATATGCAGCATAAGCATGCGCATTCATATAAGTAAATGCAGGCGGCGACAGTTAAATATGTTCTCAATAGTTGGTTTGTAATGATTAGATTTGTTTGCATGGAGGATTTAATCATGAGCTGACATCAGTTAGAGAACCACTGGAAAACGTGAGAGTACTGGATAGCTGTTACCATCGTCCTAGTTTGGGACTCTTCAGCAGTACGTACCCACCGGGATTCGAACCCAGGACCTTCTGGTTACAAGGCGAGCTCGTAGACCATTGAGACACTGGGACCCGATCCAATAGTCCTTGAATTCTAACTTCTGCCAGTTCACGACATAGTGCGACCACTTCGCAATGTCTTCTTCGAAGAGCTACTGCCCCATCTCCAACCTACTGTACCCTACTGGTCACGGCTTCCCACTAGAACCCCAGGTTAACTGCCTGAATAGGGCCAGTCACTAGTGAGCATCAGATTAATCCTCCATGCAATCAAACAAAATCCCTACAAAACCAATACTTGAAAATGATTAGATTTGTTTTTTAACGAGTTGATCAGAGGATTGATATCAGTTAGAGAAGCATTGAAAACCACCACCAGAGAGTACTGGACTGGAAAAATAGCTGTTTCATCCAACTAGCTAGGGAATTATCGGCAGTACGCACCCATCCCACCACCAGGGTTCAACTTCAGGACCTTCCAGTTACAAGGCAAGCTAGCTCGTACACCATTCATATAAGTATAAAACTTGGGCACTACTACAGTTAGAGTATAACTCCATTATATTAATATTAACCGATGACGTTTACAGCACAAACTATTGCTCATAATCATACCAAGTTACAAGTAACTAATATTACTGTAAAATACTGTGTGATTTATCAAAATAAAATCTTATCCATTCAGCTAATGAGACTCCATTCAGTGGCCAGTGGCCAGGAGTTCTGACTTCTACGAACAAGTGATTTTAACGCAATTGGCACTAGCCAATGTCCATCGGTGGGACATCCATCCTCACACTTGACATTTGGATGGATCTCAATGGTCACTTCTACAACAATAAGATGGTCCTGGGTTCGAACCCCACTGTGGGGGTGCATACTGCCGACGATTCCTAAACTAGGTGGATGAAATAGCTGGCTGCTCAGTACTCCCTGGTGATGATTTTCAATGGTTCTCTAACTGATGTCAGCTCATGATGAAATCCGCCATATAATACGGGAAAATAATTCAAAGGAAACAAAAAAAACAAAATGCATCATTAAGCAAAACTTACGTAACACCAACTGCATAAATGTACATTTGATGTCGCAGCACAAAGCATAGACTACGTACTCTTTCCATAAGCAGAACCACAGCAATGAGTGTTGTCCAACAACGTGTACCCGTACAACCATAATAAAGTATTACAAATTGTATATAATTTGACCAATGTACAGATTGATTAACTAAATAAAAACACAGGGGAAAAATAAAAGAAAGATGTTTAGTCCAATGAACATATATACAGATTTCAATCATTCCCTGAACAGATTTTTCATGCACCAGGCGGTTAAACGGATACACTAATTCCTTACTGGCTGATAACACCACCACCAAGTTGCCCAACTAAAGTGCTGACGATATCAGATAGTTGGAGGCGATCCACAAGAAGCCTTCCTTGACCTAAGTTTCGTGCTAATTGGCACTCACCAGTCAGTCAGCAAGGAAGGAACTCATGTCCCTTCTGAGATTCGAACCCGCGTCACCAGCCAGTGCTGCAGTGAGTCAGAGACATTACCATTGAGGTATTCTGGCTCACGATTGACCTTCTGTAGGACTGTAGTGGGTATTTTTATTGGACATTAGTAATTAGTATGACGTGTCTAGTCCTTTCTTTGGTGAAGATTGATGGCGAGCTACCTAGAATTGTAGCAACATTGCAAACCTGACTGACAGAATTCAGTCTGCACCAAATAAAGGACTAGCCAGACACATCATACTAGTAACTAGTATCCAATCAAAAATAAAGTTTATTATTATATAATATTTAAACGTGAACTTGGTAATAATAATGCGCACACAAAATCTCATAGCTAGGATATCCAGAAGGAAGAAGACGGTTGTCTTCAGAGACCCTTCGCCAATCCTTTGATTTGGGGTCTGATCCAGAAGACCATGGAGTGTGGCGTTCTATGAATCTCAGTGACCAAAACAGATTAATGCGGCATTCATTTCGTTCAGATTCTGTAGCATGTATACTACACAATAGGTTTAGAATCAAGGTTTTCTAAGTCCCCTGATTAGATCTGCATATCTATCAGTTCGGTTGTAAGCGACAGATGTTCTGCTTCGCGATTTCACTCTTGCAAAGAATACCCCACTGTTGGAAGGCAGTCAATAGGATTTACTGAGAACCTGTGAAATAGAATAACGATATCATTTTATACTGCAAATCTGGTCTTTCTTTCTCTATCGAAATATTTAACTGTCGGCATCGAGTCACACAGGGAAGTATAGACTGTCTGATTAGGGTGCTCGAGGTGCTAATATCTAGTAGTAGCTTGAGATGACAGTTAGTGATACGGCTCAAAATAGTTCTTAATGACGCAGATGCATTCCTCACTCGTTGCAATCTCCGAGATCCAGTAAGTCCTCATGATTTTCCCTAAGGTTGGTTAATTTTCCCTCGTTAAATGCCTTCTGTGTAACTTTGTGTGCTACCAGGAGTGTGGCAACTTGAACGGAATCATCACTTCTGTGCATAGTTCTACGTCGAAACCAAGAGTCACCCTCTTACTCTTGATATATTGAATGTAACTTTTAATACAATAAAGAAACAAAAATGTGAAAACACAAAATTTCTAGTTAATTCTTAAACGTATAATCTACATTCCTTGTATATACGTCATGAGAATACAATCTACAATGGCGTTGTATAACAGTTTAATCTTTATTGTATTTATATTGTATGGCTTACTTTTAATCACATTGTAACATTGTATTTCATACTTGCAATAAACACTTCGATTACGCAGGTTTTTATTAAAATTTAATACCGGTTTCAAGCGAAAACAAATTCACTCGTACTCATTATCAATCAATCGATCGTTCAATCAATCAATCAATACATGTTCATTCTTAACCAGGAATTTTCAGTCTAACTTGGATGGTGATTGTTCACGTGAGGAGTATAACGCGCAGATATATATATATATATATATATATATATATATATATGCTTACGCATTAGAACTCAGGTATCCAGAACACATTTATTATATATGAGACTATGCAATGAATCATACTAGTTTAATTCGTGGATGGTGACTAGCGGTGGTGGAATCCACTAGAATGCTCACTTTGTCTGTTTGTCTGTCTGTTTTCGATGTGCAGCAGTTCAAGTCACCACACTCCCTCGACGTGCCACACAAACCAACAGAAGAAAGTAAAAAGGAATGCAAAATAGAGACAGTAAATAGACATGTGAGACAAAGGAATAGTAATAACAAAGAACGATATAGTTTCATTGGAAATCATAAGTCACAAGGAGTGGATGCATCTCCACCAGCCATTGAGAACGATGAGACTGAGGCATATCACCAACTGTCCCAAGCCTTCATTGGTTTTGACCATCCCAAAGACCCCAACCAGGATTTTTACGGCTTCCTACGTGACTTAAACTAAGTGTTGTGGATTTGATTGACTGACAGCCGCTGGTTCATTTCCAGCCTGACCCTATATCAGCTAACATTGACCGTCGTGGAAGGCGATAAAAAGGCATACGTAACACATTTCTTAACCATCTCAGTCGATGTAATTTCATAGCCTCGTCGATTGATTTCCCCTCCCACCTACCTATCACTCGACCGAAGCCTAACCTCAACATTGCTCACCTTATTATACCATTTCACACGGGAGATATAAAGCGGACACTTATAATCGAAGACAGCTTATCTTTCCATGTCTTCCACTCTCAATGGCCAAGTCTCACTTATAGCCATAAAGGAGAACGGAACGGACTTCTGAGCGGTACAACCGCCCTTTAGTCGATGGCCGAATATCACGTCTACTTGGCCAGAGATGGCGTAAGCTGGCATATGCGTATGCATATGTATCCGTATTGAGATTTCGTCAACGAACAACGCCCTGGAGCCGGCTGATGCAACTTCCCGAATCAGTGAAGTAGTCAACACGCTGTACCACTTCACTCCCTATTTTTAAGATAGAAGTCAATGCTGTCCGGTAGTCCTATAGCATTTGACGACAGCAAACCGCATGCGAAATATTCGAAGATTGCTCCTCAAGGTGTTTAGAAGAGTCTACATTTTGTCAGCGTCTTCACCTGGAAGGACTATAACATCTGCTTATTCTAAGTCAACGAGATTATTCCCTGATAGGTAGTTAATCAAGAGACTCCAGGCGTTTTACAGTGAACTTCTTTAGACAGTTATTTCCGATTAACGTGTCATATACAGTCTTAAGTTCATTTGTTCTAGTTTGCAAATCTTCGATGGTACGCACCCATTGAAGTTCGAAAGCAGGACCTTCCGTTCACAAAGCGAACTCACAGACCAATAAATTACTGGGACTCACAACCCAATGATTCACAAATTTCAACTTCCGCCAATTCGTTGCCCTTGATATATATATCACAGGTTGGCAGAAGTTGGAATTCACGGCTCATTAGGTCAGGTCGCAGTGGCTTAATAGTCTATAAAGTCCTGTCTCGGTACCAGAAGGTTTTAGGTGCGTAGCGCTGAAGAGTCCTGGAAAAACAGGACGAAACAGCTGTCCAGTACTCTCAGGTTTCGAAAAGGTTCTCTAAATTATGTTACCTCATGATGAAACATATTCTTTGTTCACTACTAATCAGTCTCCTATAATGATAATATCACAACATAAAAAGGTTTTAACATGCAAAAATTCAAAATCAACACCAAAAAGTTTACTGACCGTCAATAATCTTTCCGGCATCATCATAACGACTGTGCACTAAACGTCCAAGTAATAAACCAGTACAGGAGAGAAGAACGCATATTAAATAGCCTAATGTGAATCGAATTGGCACACGACTTATTTTTTTACCTAAATAAATTATTCCCAATGTCCACAGCTAAGAGATAAAAGGAGAGAAATAAAGATACAAATTAACAGAGATGTTAAGGAAAATGACTGAAACATATTTAAGTAAAATAATCGTGTTTTCCTACGCCGACTGGTAAATACCGGTGGCTCGGACGGTCGTAGTTCTAGGTTCTCCAGTCACATACCTAAACTCCGACTAGTTTACTAGCGCTGACAGTAAATCGGAATAAAGAGGGATTGACTAGTTGACTGGTTTCAACAAAGAACGACCTCGTCGACTGATTTTCCCTCCTTAAAATGCCGTCGACACCTAATTTCAATATTAGTCGCCTTATTATATTACCTAAAATGGGAGATAGAACGCAGGCACCTATGATCAAAGACAGTTAGCCAGCCTTTCAAGTGTTCCACTTTCGATGGCCATATGTCACATATGTTTTCTATATAGGCTTCTGGTAACACATAGAAAAAACAGGGATAATGGAGATAACCAACCAACAGCAACGATAACAACCAGCATCAATCACTATCAACGGGAGAGATTTGAAAAAGGTCACTCACTCACTCACTTCCTTCACTTATCTAGTCAGCCAGCATCGTTTCAACTGCAGGCCGGTGGACCGGATGAATATGTCAAAAGGCAGCCAGAATCAGAAAAGCAAGACAGACCTTTATGGATTTGAAATCCCTTTGGAAATCTTGTGCCTGCCTCACTTAACCAGGATAAAGCACAAAAATTCGGATTTCCAACACCAAGGTTAAGTCAGTCACTGTTTCTATATGAGGTAGAAACATAGTGCAGGCATAGCGAAAATCATCTGTAGAAGGCCTTTATCGACAGCTGCGTTCTCTGGCTGCATATTGACGGTCAACTGATGAGCCATAAAGAATCAACAACAACAACAAGAAACTGTGGGGAACAGACCAACCACGAAACTACCGCTTAGCAGCGAAAACATAGAAAATGAAGATGGATTGGACGCAAGTTGACGAGACAACAACTGGACCGCGAAGAATAAGACAAAATGGGGCCCAAGGGAATAATAGTAATAATAATAGTATCACAAAAATCAACTTAAAATTTGCTCACACAGAAGCATAACTTACACAACAAACAATACTTATCCAGGAGACATCTTCCACAGTCTTGCCAAGGATATTTACATAATCTGATGGTGTTGCAGCATACAGTGTGATAATTTGTGCAAAAATGAACATGATTGGTGCACAAAGAAATGTTCCCAAAACAAGACCAATACCGATCTATACAAAATATGTGAAAAAGAAACATAAAATTAAAAAAAAACAGGACAATGAAGAGGAAATCAGTTAGCTAAACTACTCAGTGCTGATAAATAACTGTAGAGTCTGTCTGTTTTCGACATACAACTTTGCACCGATGCCCAGCAGTTCAAGTCACCACACTCCATCCACGTAGCATACAAATCAACAGAAGAAAGTAGAAGAAATGCAAAATAGAGACAGTAAACAAAGGTGTGAGACAAAGGAATAGTAATAACGAAGAACAATAGAGTACCTATCGGTATGATAATTCACAAGGATCTGCGCTAGCCACCGAGAACAATTTTGAGCCATATCACCAATTGTTTTCAGCTACTAGTTTTTACTGTCCCGAGGACCCCAACCAGTCTGGAAGTTTACACCATCCTACGTGGTTTAGATTAACTGTTGTGAATTTCATTGACTGATGAAGCCATGTTTTGGTTTGATCACCGCTAGCTCATTTCCAACCTGACCCTATGTCAGTTAGCATTGCCCGTCAAGGAAGGTGATGACTAGGCATGCATGCGTGAAACATATCCTAACCACCTCAGTCGATGTAGCTTCACAGCCTCATCGATTGATTTCCCCTCCCACCAACCTAGCACTCGACGCCTAACCTCAATATTGCTCACCTTATTATACCATTTCACACAGGAGATGGAACTCAGGCACCTGTGATCGAAGACAGCTAATCTTTTCATGTCTTCCACTCTCAATGGCCAGGTCAAAAGGTTTGGTTTGAGTCACGGAGGCAAGCGCCGATCTTCTGACTTCGGTTGACTGTTGGTGGTATGACTCAAAATCGTTAACAATGCTGCAGATGTATTCACCTCTTCATGTGCGTTTTGTGGTAAGAATTTACAAACTTTTACGAATTTATATAAGTATAAAACTTGGGCATTGTGGTGGTAGAGTATAACTTCATTATAGATAAAATTTTATTTTGATGAATCACACACAGTATGTTATATAGTAAAATTTACTGATGGCCACGTTCCGAGCACAATTGATTACTGCTCATAATCATATGAAGGCATCACACACACAACCTTTTTTCCTTCATTTATACACACGGGTAAAAGTTGATGATTAGAGGCTTGAATAATATCAACATAAGATGAGGAAGTACATTAGGAAATAATAATATTAGTGTTATCAATAAAATACAATCAGATGGGAAATAAGACGAGTGTTTTTATAGTAAAATAAATAAATAAATAACTTGTTAGAATGTTATGATAGGAACCGAACTGATATACATTTTGAGATTATTTATTATCCTCCTTTGATTTGACTGACTGGCAGTAATAATATCTTCCATGTATATCTCTGGTATTTGCATCAAGTCACTTATACTGCATGTGTTGGGTGTAGATTATTCAATGAACCAGGATTCCGTAATCAACCAACTCTCTCTCCACCTACCTATATTACTTCTTAGAATCTCAACCCACTCCCACCGTATTGTGTGGTTTTGTGTTAATGCATGCAGCGCAAAGCAGTGCTGAGTATTTCCGAAATTAGTCATCTTCTCCGGGTCAACCATTCTTACCTTAGCCAAGTTCTTATGTTCCAACAACTTAAAAATCAAATCGCGAACTCGTGTGACCAAAACTGATGTGATTATGAACAATAAATTGTGTTCGAAACGTCATCCAGTATACAATACTGTTTCACTGTGTGATAAACATTTAATAAACAAACTAATATGGAATTACTTACTAACACAGTGACCAAGTTTTACACATATATTCTAACAACCTGACTAACCCCCCCCCACCTACTAGTTTTCTAACAACAGAAGACAAGGGCCAGGAAAGAGACCCCTTATTTAGGAAATCAACACAAATTTAAACATTTTCATGTGCATTATTATAGATTATTGTTAGCAGACAGACACAGTCTTCTGATTGGTTGTTCCTCACTGAAAGTGAATCTTTCGTCTCTTTTTGGCTGTTTCTTGAAGTTCAGATTATCTATCTGCATATTGTATCCGCCGTCGAGCACTCATCATATCAGATAGACAGTGTTGACATTAGAATGGCCGTTTATCAACGAATGTTTGACGACACTTCCGTTTCTTCTTCGTCATGAAACATTCGTTGATAAACGGCCATTCCAATGTCAACACTGTCTATCTGATATGATGAGTGCTCGACGGTTTTGAAAGAAGAGGAGGAGACCAGCAAAGGAAGCAAACGGTACATAGAATCTCATGTATCTCCTGATGAAGTCGGCTTGATAACTTGTCAGTTCTGCAAAATATTATTCTGTAGAAGACTTCCTACGAAGCCGTGGTACTTCCGCTTCAGCGAATTTAAGCATACTGATGACTTTCTGCTTAGTTATTTGGAATTCCGCGTCAAACTGGGGCTTGCATAATAAATATATTTTAGGACAAGTCATGCCGAGAACAAACCCTATGGTTATCAGGGTAAGCAAATTAAACAGAGCACCACCTACTAAGGAAAGTAGGTAGGTAGTATAAACACACAACGAACTTTGCAGTCTCAGAGTAATCTTCAAACCACAATACACAACGTAAATAATTCAACTTTTCGGACAATTTTTCCTCAATAAGGCTGCGACACGCTCGGCAACTTTTTCTTTAGGTAAACCGATGTCCAATTATTCAAGCCTATACTTAAATGGGTTTTTCGGTGAATCCTGATTTAACTTGACTGTGAATAGACGCGTAATAAAATTATAAAGCTTGCAAGCCGTAGTGCAGCACATTAACGAAATTCCCGTGTAAGCGATAAAAGAGATCAGGGACATGCATGACAGATTTAAGAGGAATGTCAGCCCAACAGCTGCAACGATACCCGACTTGATGGGTTCATGCCAATAAACAATTTCTCTAACGAAATCCATTAACGTTCTGCGGTTTGTATCACGCCAACAACTACCTTGAGAAGAAATTCACAGAGACCACCAGAATCTATGCTACGACAAAGAGAAGGCCAACACAAATAATGAACTACAGTTAGGACCAGTTATACGATTTATGTATTGTGTATATTATATATTAACGTCGCCTAAATTACTAGCTTGCTAGTTTTCTAGCCGGTCCCAAGTCCGGATGAAGAGGGAGGGTTGGGGCGTGGTGCTGGCAACTCCACCACCATAACTTAACCAAATTGCTACAGAAACTTATATTAAAAATACTAAAAATATAAACAACAACCTTATTTTTCGCTGGGATCGGGGAAGTGAAATGACACAGGCTGGTGAAAGCCTCCGGGAAGCCAGTCAGTCAGCCGATGTGCCTTCATTCGATGAAAGCAAAAATAAGGATGGGGACGTGGAATGTTCGTACAATGCACGAAGCTGGAAAGGCTCCCCAGGTAGCCACAGAAATGAGAAGATATAGAATATAGAAGTGTTGGGAATCTGTGAGAGCCGATGGAATGGATGTGGAAGGTTCCAACTATCAACTGGACAGAGAGACAGTAATCTATTCCGGTCACCCAGAGGACAACCACGAGCACACCGAGGGAGTGGCCATCATGATGTCACCAACAGCAGCCAAAGCTCTCATGCAGTGGGAACCGACCTCCTCCAGGATAATGACAGCTAGGTTCAACTCAAAAGGAAGGAAGGTTACAATCATCCAATGCTATGCGCCTACAAACGTATCAGAAAAAGGGGAGAAGGAGGATTTCTACAGACAACTACGAACAGTAATGGACAACGTCCCAAATGGCGATATCAGAATCCTGATGGGTGATATGCATGTGAAACTGGAAGGAGACAGACAAAACAGGAAGAGAACTCCCCATGGTTCGGGACGGCCTCGGTGAAATGAACGACAATGGTGAACTCTTGTCAGACTTCTGGACTTTCAATAATTTGATGATTGGTGGCAGTGTGTTCAAGCACAAGGATATACACAAGGCGGCATGGATTTCACCAGATGGATACACCAAAAAACCAGATAGACTTCATTTCAATCTCAAGGAAGTGGAGACGGAGCCTACTGGACACACACACACACACAAAATCGAGGAGAGGAGCTGATGTGGGTTCACACCACTATCTAGTACAAGGGACTTTCAAAGTGAAGCTAAAAGCCTCGAGGATAGCTGGGGATGCAATGCCACAATGCAAGTTCAACACTCAATTACTGAAGGACACAACCACAAAGGACACTTTCACTGCAACTGTCAGAGCAAACCAGGGAACACTACGTGGTATCACTGAGGAATCATACGTGGAAGACCATTGGAACTCTCTGAAAGTGATTCTCAACGAAACGTGTTCAACGGTTTTAGGAAGAAAGAAGAGACAAGACAAGGAATGGCTCTCAACGGACACTTGGAAGCTAATAGAGGAGAGGAGAGTGGTGAAAGAGAAAATGATTCAATGCAAAGACGGACAAGAGAAGGAGACGCTGGGCTCAACTTACACAGCACTACTGGACAAAGAAGTGAAGAAGAGTGCTAGGAAGGACAAAAGACAATTCTACGACAATCTGGCCATTGAAGCTGAAAAGGCAGGAGGCAAAACGGACCTGAGGACATTATATCAGATAACCAAGTCTCTATCCGGGAAGAGATCAACACAAGTGAAACCTATAAAAGACAGCCAAGGGAACCCAATTATCAAGGTAGGAAGACATATTAAACAATGGGCGGATCACTTCAAAGGACTCTGGAACCGACCACCGTCCAGAAATACCAACAACAGCGCGTACACAACTGCAAGTCGACACCAATCCTCCAACGAGAGCTGAAGTCTTCAATGCAATCAAGCTTCTGAGAGGTAGAAAAGCACGTGGACCAGATGGAATACCCCCTGAATCACTGAAAGCGGACCCAGAGACGACAGCAGATATGCTGACTCCATTATCGCAAAAGGCCTGGATGGGGCGAAAGGTGCCTACTGACTGGAGGAAAGGTTACCACCTTGTGAAACTACCAAAGAAGGGCGACTTAGGACTCTGCAAGAACTGGAGAGGAATCATCCTCCTGTCAACG